TCGTTGTTCCTTTTTGCATTCGAGATATGCACGCCTTGCGGCGTTGGATGCGGAAACGGGGCCACCTCCCCGGGATGAGGCGCTATCCTTGTACTTGATGGAGCAGATCCCGAGAAACCGGCCAGTGATCGGATCTGTGCGATTTTTGATCTCGGCGACGTCTCCAAAGCTCGAGAAAAGCGCACTGATCGGAGCAATTGGGGTCAAAGGGTCGAATCCGGTGGCCACCACCTGGACCGGAGGCCCTGGGCCTATGCTCGCCGCATCGTGTGACCATGGCTTTAAAGTGTAAGGCGCAGGTCGGTACTTTGTCTTTTGCTTGCAGCTGGATCCACGGGTATAGTTGGCGATTGTGAGGCGCGGGTCGGGAGGACAATCGCCTGGCGCGTAGACGATATCGACGTATTCGGCCTTTTTGCGTTTCTCTTTGGAGGATGTTCGCTTATCCAGATCGGGATCGTACACGGCCTTGCAACCTCGCACGCGATGTTCATGCCGTGTCTGTGACTTGGGGGTGGGAGGAGTGTGGATGGGAGTGATGGAAGGTTTGAAGTATTCAGGATTTGGCCGTGAAGAAGTGCCTGTGAAAGTTTTATCTGCCACCTTGGACTGCGATGGACTAGTTACTTTGCAGGGAGGTGATGACTCGGTGTTGGTGAGCGGCGTCAAGGTGTCGATTTGTGGTGGGAGCGAATTCGTCATAGGCGCCGCAGGTAGCTCAGCCCCATCCGACCCATTCACATTAGCGGAAATGATCAATCCAACTCCGTTGAGGGATGAAGGATTTCGAGCTCCCCTCTTATCTTCCGAGGTCTCGACGGTCGCAGATGCGCTTGAGCCCGCGGGCCCCAGACAACCGGGGATCTCTTCGGAAACCTCTTCGCCCTCGACATGTTTGATTCGTCGTTCCTGCGAAGTTTTGAAGCGCTTCTGTTGAAGAACCGACGGGGCGGTTGGGAAGAAGTCTGCAAAGCCGGCGGAGGCGCGTGACATGATGAGAGGTTGGCTATACGCCAGAAACCGTGGCGCAGTCAAAAGGCAGCATCCTTGACAGTGGTGTACTGGCTAGTGCGAATACATGCGACCGAGAAAGTCCCGGCGCAGCAGAATGGGCGAAAATGGTGAGGAAGGGATTATAAAGGAGTAGAGTTCGGAGATGAACTGGGGTGCAAACCAAACGTTTAGAAGAAGTGAAAACAAGCTAGAAAGCAAAATGGCGAGAAGAGAAAGAATAGAGAGATTGGAAACCGTAAACTGCAATCGCAAGTTGAGGTTTGCGGAGAGCCTGACGCGATTCAAGAGTTTGCAGGAGGCTAAGACGCGATCGAGCGGAAGAAAGTGGAATGGTGGGGACGGCGGGACTTGAGAGCAACTTCACCAAGGGATAGCCAGAGGCGAGAGATTGCAAGATTTGAAGGACTTGGAGCTCCGTGTAAAGCCTAATAGCGAAAGATGCCAGAGATACCACAGACGCCAGAGATGAAGTTCCGTGCTTCAGCGGTTTTTTTTTACCTATACGAGAGTGACCTCACCGTGACCTGATCAACCACCGTATCGACGCCTGTTGAACAAGTACCACAGAAGTACTCCCATAATATATGATCAGAGACAGATATACAAGGAATAATGGATCTAGCCAGATCTCCGAAATTAAAATGGGCAGAATATTCCGCATATGCATTGGAACCATAGGGAAATGTCCAGTACAAGGATTTTGGCCTCAGGCTGCCAGACCGCCAGGCTGCCAGGCTCCAAGGCTCCAAGGCTGCAAGGCTGCAGACGGTGGAGTTTTTCACCAATAAATAGACTATGTTCCCCTGAGTGTCGGCAAAAATAGCAACTGCAGCGTGGAACGACTACCGAACCCTTCCAAGGTTCCCGACCCAAGGAATGTACCGTATATAATTTTAGATCCCTAGGCCAAAAACAAACAAGCTTACATTTTCTTACTTGGACTTCGCCTCTGTGGCAATTAACGTGAGAGTTAAGAGCCAGAATCCAACTGAAGGATGCCCAATGGTATAGATTCCTGGTCAGGCCAATCCGAAACAAGGCCAGATCAATAGAGATGACACGTTAACATATTAACACATATATAAATATATTTACAGTATTTTATATTATATTTTTATATATATTTATATATATTTATATATATTTATATAAATGTGGGTATGTTTTGCCAAGTGAGACATCGGATTCCCCTAGAAACGTTGGTCCGAGCACTCCGCTTAGCTTGAAAGAGCTAATAATAATCGCCCCTCCCCTTCCTATTTTCCCCCTCTATAAATACGAAACCTACCTTCCTTGCTTCTCTCTACTTTCATCCCTCCCCCCCTCCTCCTCTTCTTAATTCATTCTCTTCATCATGTGGTATGTTGTTATTCTCGTCTTGTACTGTCTGTTTACTCACTGTTTGTTAGTGGAATCTTTGGCTACATCAACTACCTCGTGGAGAAGGACCGCAAGTTCATCATTGATACCCTGCTTAATGGTAAGTGTTGATACTTCTCTTTCTCTATCCACCCCACTCATCATTGATCGCAGGTCTCTCACGATTGGAGTACCGTGGCTATGACTCGGCCGGTATGGCTGTGGATGGCAACAAGAAGAATGAAGTCTGTGCTTTCAAGGAAGTTGGCAAGGTTGCCAAGTTGAAGGAACTCATCGAGCAGAGCGAATACGACATGACCAAGACCTTCGAGTCTCATGCTGGTATCTCTCACACCCGTTGGGCCACTCACGGAACCCCCTCTCGTCAAAACTGCCACCCCCACCGGTAAGCGTTGCAACGTGAACATCATTATTTCCTCGGAATGACGCTAATTGCTCCTTGTGGAATAGGTCCGATCCTACTTGGGAGTTCGCCGTCGTCCACAACGGTATCATCACCAACTATAAGGAATTGAAGGCCTTGCTTGAGAGCAAGGGTTTCCGCTTCGAGACCGAGACCGATACTGAGTGCATTGCGAAGCTTGCCAAGTACCTCTATGACCAACATCCCGACATTGAATTCACAGTCTTGGCCAAGGCCGTCATCAAGGAACTTGAAGGTGCCTTTGGTCTGCTGCTCAAGTCGGTGCACTACCCCCACGAGGTCATTGCAGCCCGCAAGGGTTCACCCTTGGTGATCGGTGTGAAGACATCCAAGAAGATGAAGGTTGATTTCGTTGATGTTGAGTTTTCGGAAGATGGTGCCCTTTCCGCGGAGCAGGCCTCCCAGAATGTGGCCGCTAAGAAGTCCGCCACGAGCCTCCTTGCCCCTCCCGACAAGTCACTCCTCCACCGCTCTCAGTCGCGGGCTTTCTTGTCGGACGACGGCATCCCCCAACCCGCAGAGTTCTTCTTGTCCTCTGACCCATCTGCCATTGTGGAGCACACCAAGAAGGTGCTCTACCTCGAGGATGATGACATTGCCCACATCCATGAGGGTCAGCTCAACATTCACCGTCTGACCAAGGATGATGGCACCTCCAACGTTCGTGCAATCCAGACCATCGAGCTTGAGCTCCAGGAGATCATGAAGGGCAAGTTCGACCACTTCATGCAGAAGGAAATTTTCGAGCAGCCTGAGTCCGTTGTCAACACCATGAGAGGTCGTCTGGACGTTGCCAACAAGAAGGTCACCCTGGGTGGTCTCCGCCAATACATCTCCACCATCCGTCGCTGCCGCCGCATCATCTTCATCGCTTGCGGTACCAGCTACCACTCGTGCATGGCGGTGCGTGGTATCTTTGAGGAGCTCACCGAGATCCCTATCGCAGTCGAACTCGCCTCCGATTTCCTCGATCGCCAGGCCCCAGTTTTCCGTGACGATACCTGTGTGTTTGTCTCCCAGTCAGGAGAGACGGCCGACTCGCTGATGGCTCTTCGCTACTGCCTGGAGCGTGGTGCTCTGACTGTTGGTGTTGTCAACGTTGTCGGTTCTTCCATTTCCCTCCTTACTCACTGCGGTGTGCACATCAACGCTGGCCCTGAGATTGGTGTGGCATCTACCAAGGCCTACACTTCTCAGTTTGTGGCCATGGTCATGTTTGCTTTGTCATTGAGTGAAGACCGTGCTTCTAAGCAAAAGAGACGCGAGGAGATTATGGAGGGGCTTGGAAAGATCTCTGAGCAGTTCAAGGAGATCTTGAAGTTGAATGATACCATCAAGGACATGTGCGCCAACCAGTTCAAGAACCAGAAGAGTTTGCTCCTGTTGGGCCGTGGTGCTCAGTTCCCTACCGCCCTTGAAGGTCAGTGTCCCGCCCCCTTGGTGCTTGTCTGATCTTTGCTAACAAATGATTTCAGGTGCCCTCAAAATTAAGGAGATCTCATACCTCCACTGTGAGGCCGTCATGTCGGGTGAATTGAAGCACGGTGTCCTGGCTCTTGTGGATGAGAACCTTCCCATCATTATGATTCTCACTCGCGACAACCTCTTCACCAAGTCCCTGAACGCTTATCAGCAGGTCATTGCTCGTGGTGGTCGCCCCATTGTGATTTGTAACCACGACGACCCCGAGTTCTCTGCTGCGCAGACCGAGAAGATCGATGTGCCCAAGACTGTGGACTGTCTCCAGGGCCTGCTGAATGTCATCCCATTGCAGCTGATCTCCTATTGGCTTGCTGTCGGCGAGGGTCTGAATGTCGATTTCCCTCGTAACCTGGCCAAGTCGGTCACAGTCGAGTAAACATTTTGCGATTGGCGAGGTTAGACGATTATCATGATCCGGTCATCTTTTTATTATTAGGTGTTTTAGCTTCGGGAGAATGGAATTCGGTTTCGTTTCTTTTTTTCAGTCTTGCTCAAGTCTGTAAACTCCATATATCCGTACGACATGTATATATACTCCCGCGCTAGGTAAATTGCCGCATTCCGTGATGACCATTCCGCCCCCGCCAAATGCGGGACCGATGTTTTCGTCCCTCGAGCTCTCTTGATTCACCACATCCCTGCTCAATTCTCCCACACTCAACAATCTATTATTTTAGACCAACCCTTCAATCACTACAAGATGTCTTCCATTAAAGGTCCCGGCGCTGCCCAGACCCACGACGGTGAGAGAGGTACCAACCCCACCATTACGGCCACCCTGCTGATCATCGGTTGACTCTAGGCTCTGGACTTCGTGTGGCTATTATCCATGCGAGGTGGAACACTGCGATCATCGAGTCACTCGTCTCGGGGGCAAAGAAAACCTTGCTGGCGGCTGGTGTGACCGAAGATAATATCACCGTCCAGACAGTTCCCGGCAGCTATGAGTTGCCTCTGGGAGTGCAACGGTGAGTCTCGCACGCTTTTGCAGCTCCAATGGTTATCATATTTCTAATGCCTCGTTCATAGGATCTATGCTGCTTCCCAGCTTCAAGCCAACTCCTCCGGCGAGGGGATCAGTGCCACCGATTTGTTGTCATCTCCCACCACCGAACCGTCTGGGTCTGCGACATCTGCAACCCCGAAGAAGCCATTCGATGCGATTATTGCCATCGGAGTCCTCATCAAGGGTGCTACGATGCACTTCGAATACATCGCAGACGCCGTCAGCCACGGGCTGATGCGTGTCCAGCTTGATTCGGGTGTCCCTGTCATCTTTGGATTGCTGACGGTGCTGACCGAGGAGCAGGGTTTGGAGCGGGCTGGTCTTGGTAAGAGTGGCATGCACAACCACGGTGAGGATTGGGGCAGCGCTGCTGTTGAGCTGGGCCTGAAGAGGAGGGAATGGGCTGAAGGCAAGATTCTCTAAATTTCTCGAAATATCGCATGGCAATGAACCTCAAGCATACGTGCTGTGGCATGTATCCTACCGGGACTTTATTTGGGATGGCAGATTATTTTCATGTGCAGCAAAAAAGGAACAGCTTCACAGATACATAATTCTTTGGCAGCATAAATTATGACACGGTTCACTCTTCCATCTGTTCACCCTGATCCTTGTCTTCCTCCTCCTCGTCATCCCCTTCCAGGGCCCGCCGTGCAGCTTTCTCTGCTTCCTCAAGGAGCTCCTTGGGCACTTCCTCATGGCGGCCCTTGGTAGGCCCATCAACCGAGCTGATCCATGTCATCTCCAGCTCGAATTCCTTATCCTTGCTGTCTTCGTGGGCAACGTAGATGATGCGGGCAGCTTCCTTCACGCCGTCTGCCAGAGACAGATTGCCCGAGGTTAGATCTAGTTTCTCCAGCTCCGCTTTGGCGGCCTGTCGTCCTTTGCCGGTGGCAGCACCGTAGTAACCCTGGAATTTCCTCTTAGTATTTTGTTGATCACGCATGGGAGTCTTGACGTACCCAATACAGTCCACTAGGCTCGATCATGTAGAGGCCAGGCCCTCCTGCCTTGGCACCTGGGACCTTTCCACCAGAGCCCGACTGGGGCCCGCTGCCAACTTGTCCATCAACGGCGAGTTCTGCCTCGGTATCCCAGCCACCAACAATCGCGGTTACACCAAACGGCCGTACGCTGGAGTAAAGCGTATACGCCTGCACGTATCCTCCCAGGCGGTTGGCAAGCGCTGAGGTCGGAATGGGGCCCTTGTATACGCCTCTCCACGAGGAAGCCTCATCTCGAGCTCTGGAAACGAAGTGACGGCCATCTGGAACTAGTCCAGCAGAAACCTGTAGAAGGCGGTAGTCAGTAACAGCCTATCAACTTTGACGGCTTACTTCGACGCAATATGCTCAAAGTGCCAAGGAGTATCGGGATCTCTCACAATGCCGACATGACGATCCACTGTCGCGATTCTCTTGTTCGCCCCTGGTTTTAGAAGCTTGCTCGTGATGATCTTCTCCACTGCCAGTACCACACCATCCTTGCATCTGATGCCGACGGCGGTACCTCCATTCTCAACTGCCTTGACAGCATACTCGACCTATAAAGCATGGTAAGTATCGGAAAGGCGTGTTTGTAGCTCACTTCGGAGCTAGGTAGGATCCGAGTTACCTGGAAATTCCGGCCGTCTGGCGAGAACACCGAGTTGGAGAGATCGTAACCTGTGCCAATTGACGTCTAATGAATAGCTCTGTTAGCTTCATGGAAAGATAGCACACCGGGGATACTATGAAGTTCACTGACCATGGTTTTGGTGAGACTGCGATTCGGTGTGCTTCGAGGACGTCACCACGAATGGGGGGATATTAGGATAGTAAAGTTTGAATCACGGAAAATCGACAGCCGTGATGATCCAGAGGGAAAGGAAGAGACAAAGTGAGGTTGGGAGCTCGGGGGTGATGATAACAGTTCCTGAGCAGTGACGCTGTCGCGTCACGGGGTTGCCTACCAGCTCCTCGTCACATGACTTTGGAATCTCTTGGATGTGCATTATACTTGCGCACTTGGTCTTTTTCAAGTAGCATGAATTTGAACCTGCTTTATGTACGGAGTACTAACTTTGGAGGTGCATTGATACAAGAGAATGCCCTATAACTGCCTAGGTAGCAAGTATCATGTCATTTGGGTATATCAACTGTCTTGAATCTTTGAACCAATTCAAGGACTTTCAAAAGATTGCCTATCTCTCCTTGCAAATTCAATATAGGATCAAGAAGATTAACCAAAGTGCGGAGGGAGTTTTCTACGTTATGACCGGGCACATTATAACCGGGTTTTACTGTATGAAAATGACCATAGTGGCCCGAACTGCAGCCCAATCCTTGACCATTTGGGCATATTTGCCCCTCTGATCTTCCACTCTCCAAATCTCTTTCCTCTTGTCTTCTCAGTCATAACTAACTATATAACGGTTGTACTACATTTGAACCCATCTCCATGTCTTCCTCCATACTACACCAGTGCCCGCACTGCGGGCATACATCTGATATATCCAATTCTCTCGCAGCCTTCATTGAGGACCCCCACTGTAAACAGGTAGCTTGCGCCTTCTAGTTCTTCTCTTCCAAATATGCCAACTAAGAACATAAACAGTGTGGTCTGTCTGCATCCGAAAGCGATCAGAAAATGCAAGACGATCTCGCAGATTTGTTTGATAGACAAATGACTATGGCACAACTACATGCCCCGAATAAAGATGAACTCACATCGCCATCTCTAGCGCCACCGATCTCTTACTCCATTACCCAGCACTATCATCACTCGGCCCACAAAGTCACTCCGAACGTTCCTTTCCAGGCTAGCATTGATGTTCTGAGGCATTATGGTCTTGATCCAAGCACTATGACACCCAGTCAATTGAACCTCTTCGACCACGCCGACACGGAGCAGAGAGAGCGATTAATCCAAACATGGCAACTCTATTCACAGCTCTCACAGAATACCCAGGATCACGCGATGCATGATTATGTCATGGATGACAGTCAAGATGGAAACCCTGACGCTGAACCCTACATGATATCTGGCTATGAGACCATTACCACTGGAGTCGCTCACTCTCTTCCGAGTAACCTCTCGAATGCTCTCCCAGATGACCTCCCAAAAGAGCCCACCACGGGAGAGCCATACACTGGTTCAAAGGACCCTGTGTATCAAGGCCAGCAGCATTGGTGGGAGTTGACAAATGCTGGTCCAATGGAATCCCATTACGGGGCATTCGAACAAATGAGGCGTTACTCTGGTTATACTTAGGCTGTTTGGACACTCTTGAATATACTTTGAACAAGATATCCGGAGCCACGCATAACACGGCTCTTCGACCTCACTCTCTAGAAAAATGATAGGCTGAAAGAGACTGCGTGGCAGGGCATCAGAAGCCCACCGCTTCGATGGGTAGGATTCCCCGTGGATGTCTTTAAGATTACGTCTACCTAGGAATGTCCATGAGAGGATGTGAAATCTTCTATTTTTCTTCGTTGGATGCTATGGATTCATCGACTCCCAATAATCAATATTGCCGCGTCGAAAAAAAAAAAAAAAAGGAAAATGTATGGCCAGTCAAGTAAAGGAGTGTCCGCCATGAAAATTCAGGCCAACATGCCAGCCCTGGAGTCGGTGCCTAGGTCCTTGGTAGAAACGTCGTCGCGAGTAACATTTGGAGATCGAGAGTACTGTCGATACGCCCAAAGTCCACGACGTTGAGGTTGATTGAACCTTTGAAAAAATTAGTATGTAGAACAGAAAAGAAGAAGGCTTATATGGTCATACCTTTATTCCTCCTCATCGAGGGCAGCCATAGCATCGGCGAGAGCATCGGCGGAGCGCTTGACCTCATCGGCGGCCTCGGCGGCACGCTTAGCCTTGAAGCAGCCTTGTCCAGGGTGTCCACACCACTTCTGGAGGACAAGGGGGTGGGAGCCAGCCATCGCATCGGCAAGAGCATCAGCGTGGCGCTTGACCTCGAAGGAAGCATCGGCGGCGCGCTTCATCATGTAGCAGCCCTGACCGGGGTGACCACACCACTTGGGAAGAGTTTGCGCTTGGACGGTGGAAGCAGCCAGCATGGCAATAGCAACGGAGAGGAGCTTCATCTTGGTGATTCGGATGAAACTGGGAGGCAGTTGGATTGGATTGATGAGCGAGAGACGAAAGGGAGACACAGAAGGCTTTGTGAAGAATGTCTGGCTTCAAAATCAAATCCTTGAGCAAATCAAGGCCTTTTATATTCAAGAGTCCAGACATACTCGCTGGCTCAAAAGGCTGGAGTTGCCGTTGATCAAAGAAGATATTTATTGAGTCTCAATCAACCGAGCGCTGAATAGAGGCGTGGCTTTGAAAAGCGTTATTGACCGTCGCCTCGAGCAACACCAGACCAATAGACTCAATTTGCCATGGCATGAACAGTTCTCAGGTCAGCCATCGGTTCGATGCTTTGCTCATGCTGTAACCTAGCGAACTCGTTAGTGAATAGAGTTTATTCTTTTTGTTCAAGTCCACAAACCTACCAGACCTGAAGCTCCCAGGCCCAAATAGTATATGAATAAGAAAAGAAGACAGCCGGATGGCTGTAGACGTCGTCAATAGGAGGCATTCATTGTTTAGGAAGATAAGATCGGGCCGGCGCTAACCAGAGTCGCGCGATGCCGAGCCCATCCGGAGTCTTTTTTTCCCGTTTTCCCTGTCTGATCCTTCCCTTCCCCCCTTCTGATTCTCTCCACATCTCTTTGAACTGCCAATTCCTTGAAAATGTTCTCCAGAACGGCTCAACCTGCTCGGGTATGTTTCTTTTTTCCTCTTTTATTCTTTCTCCCTTTCCGCCCGGCTTTTGGCTAACCCCCCAGCTAGACCCTGCTTCGCGCCTCCGCAGCCCCCTCTCTGGCTCGCTCCATTCCCGCCAGATGTATGCAATTGCTTTGATCGTTACCTTCCTATTTGCCACTAACATTTGCGCCTAGCCTTCGCCAGTGTTCAGTCGGACATTTTCAAGCCCACCAAGTATGGCGGCAAGTACACCGTGACTCTCATTCCCGGTACGTCCTACCCTATCATGCGCGTGTGTCTTCGTCGTGAGCTGACAAGATTTAGGTGACGGAATTGGTGCCGAGGTCGCTGAATCGGTCAAGACCATCTTCAAGGCCGATAACGTGCCCATCGAGTGGGAGCAGGTCGATGTTAGCGGTGTCGACACCGGCAACAAGCACTCTGAGGAGCTCTTCAAGGAGTCCCTCGCATCTCTCAAGCGCAACAAGCTCGGCCTGAAGGGTATCCTCCACACTCCTGTCGAGCGATCGGGCCACCAGTCCTTCAACGTCGCCCTCCGTCAGGAGCTGGACATCTACGCCTCCATCTCTTTGATCAAGAACATCCCCGGATATCAGACTCGCCACAAGGATGTCGACCTCTGCATCATTCGTGAGAACACCGAAGGAGAGTACTCCGGTCTCGAGCACCAGTCCGTTCAGGGTGTCGTCGAGTCTTTGAAGATCATCACCCGTGCCAAATCCGAGCGCATCGCCAAGTTCGCTTTCAGCTTCGCTCTTGCCAACAACCGCAAGAAGGTTACCTGTATCCACAAGGCTAACATCATGAAGCTGGCCGACGGTCTCTTCCGCAGCACATTCCACAAGGTCGCCGAGAACTACCCCACCCTGGAGGTGAACGACATGATCGTGGACAACGCCTCTATGCAGGCTGTTTCCCGCCCCCAGCAGTTTGACGTGATGGTCATGCCTAACCTGTACGGAGGTATCTTGTCTAACGTGGGTGCTGCCCTCGTTGGTGGACCTGGTGTCGTCCCCGGTTGCAACATGGGTCGTGACGTCGCTGTCTTTGAGCCCGGTTGCCGTCACGTCGGCCTTGATATCAAGGGCAAGGACCAGGCTAACCCGAGCGCCATGATCCTTTCCGGCTCCATGCTTCTGCGCCACCTCGGCCTGGATGAGCACGCCAACCGCATCTCCAAGGCTGTTTACGATGTCATTGGCGAAGGGTAAGTCCCAAACCTCTGTCAATTGATCCGAGTACTGACATTAAATCTCCTTTTTTAGCCAAACACGGACCCGCGACATGGGTGGTCAGGCTACCACTCACGAGTTTACCCGTGCTGTTCTGGACAAGATGGAGGCGTCTCTGTAAATCTTGGGGACCGTCGCGTTCCACTGTCCCAACTGCTACGATTGAGGATGCTGCCTGCCGATTACTGAAATGCAGTGGATTCTGCAGCCCATGAATCGGCCGGTGTGGTCCTCATTGATGTATTATCTTCATTTCAATTTAGCTCGAAACGTCCCCCGGTTATAGCAATAGACGCCTTTTTTTCTTTTGTGATCGTAACTTCTTCTCTGCATTAAATTGGGTATATCAAAATCGCATAGGCCATCTTCGGCCAAGCTTGTATCATGGATATCGGTAAGAAAACACTTTTAGCCTCACACTGGTTCGTCAAAGCAGTCAATCAGAAGGCGATTCGTCGTTTCCGGCCAGTGTATTTCGAACTGGCCTTGACAACCTTGCCCTTCTTCGCCATTTGTTCCTTTTTGTTCAGAATCCAAGCCTTGTCACCCTTACGAGGCGCTCTAGCGTTTCCGATTTCCATGGCCTTTCGTCGGGCATCAAAGACGCTGACATCGTCCATACCATTCACAACACCGGTAATGTCACCCGGCAGACCACCGCCGCCTACGGTCAGAACCAGATACAATTTGCTGCTCTTGGTCCCCGGATCATCCTCGAGGATACCCGCACCAAAGCCAGCTTTGATTGCTGCGCCGCTTATCATACTCCGTTGAGTATCATTTTTGGGGTAAAACTGGCAGACTGCACGCCCACCACGACGGAGACTGGCGTAAAGACCTTCGAAGAAGCGGCGAAGGCGACCTTCAGCGGTGACATCGCTAGTTTCCGCATTGCAGAGCCACTGGATAGCACTGATGCTGATCGCTGCATCGAATGATCCGGGCCGGAAAGGAACTCCCTGGCCAATGTCGGCAAGAAACAAATCACCTTCCACGTCACGTTGGAGGGCCACATCCAACATGCTAGGTGCGATATCCATGCCAATCCATGTGTGCGGGCCACCTTCCTCGGGAGACACTTCGGACAAAATTTCCCCAGAGAGGCCGGAGCCACATCCGACATCAAGGATAAAGGAAGGTGACTTGAGATCGAGAAGGTCAAGAGCACGGTTCGTCATGTTGGCCTGAATGTTGCGAATTCGCGAAGACGTCGTATATTTTCGCGATTCATTGTCATTGTAAAAGAGATCGGCAGGACTGGAACAAGTTAGTCAAAGCATTTGGACTAGAAACAGGAATCATACAGAATATCCTCAGGGCGCGACATGGTGGTGGTGGTGTTGTTGCGAGATTTGAGTTTGGAAAATCATAAATTCTTTTGGGATGTAGTGGGGCCTGAGGCAAAAAATGTCCACGTTTCTCCGATTGCGTCGACTCTTGAAGCTCTTTGCTTCTGCGATACTTCTCTCCGCTTGGGTTTAGCTCTCTTTAATCTGTCTTTTTTCGCTATGTGGATTCTACCGCTAGTGGGATATCTCGGGGTGGTGGTCGGGTTTGCTTTTCTTACTCTGGCCATAGGTAAGGACGCGAGACAGGAGACCGAGAATAGAACTGACTCCCATTCATAGCTTCGGGGCTCTATTATCTATCCGAGCTGGTCGAGGAGCACACCGTTCTTGCCCGCCGACTCTTGACTCGAATGATCTACGGCATCATCGCGGTTCAAGTGCTTCTCATGATCGTTGACCGGTTCCCCGTGTCACTATCCATGCTAAGCATTGTCTCGCATCTGGTCTACGCCAGCAATTTGCGCCGATTCCCTATAGTGAAACTATCCGATCCTCTCTTCATCCTTTCCTGTCTTCTCGTCGGAACCAATCACTGGCTATGGTTCCGCCATTTCTCGAAGCCCTTACCTCCGTCTGCGAACAACTGGCGCCAACCGTATGGGGTCAATTATGAGGAGATGCCTTCTTTCTCTGAAGTTGCATCATATTTTGGACTCTGTGTTTGGCTGGTTCCGTTCGCCCTCTTCGTCAGTTTAAGCGCCGGAGAAAATGTGTTGCCCAGCATGGGTTCTGAGTATGCCACTGGGGAGCGTGTCAACACTGCTGGCTTGGGTCACAGCCGTGGTCCCTCTGATGGCAAGTCCAAGAACAAGGGAATGGCCAAGGCCCTGGTGGACGGCGTCCGAGACTGGGCAAGGGATAACGGCGAACTCATGGGCCTCTGGAGAGGAGAACAGACGAGACGATTCTGAAGCGGATTTTATGTCACCTATTATGCCTAGATAATACTGAATAACGTCATGAGTGTCACAAAGCGTGTAAATTGTATAGATGAATAGATAAGTGACCGCGAATCGCCAATTTGCCAGATAGATAAAGAGTAGAGAATATATCGACAACATCAAAGAGGCGCTGGGACGCGCTGGGAACAAAATAGGAAGAATAAAGTAGAGAAGTAGACGAAGAAAAGGGGTATAACGACGGTCAAAGTTGCTCGGGTCCACGTTGACTCAAAAAGATGGATGGGCCATCAGCCCAGACGCGTACCACATCTGGATTACCATTATCATTAAACATTCCCTCGCGACTTACATGGCTGAAATTGCCAAGGTAGAGTCATCATTCCGCGTGCAAGTCGTGATTTGTCCGGACAAAAGTGGCGTGGACCACTGAAAAATAGCCGAGCATTAGAAAGGCGACGGACATCAAGAGAAAAAGAAAGTTGTCTTGCAGCTCATATCCAGCTTCTGAGTCTGCAGACAGGCAGAATTAGACTGCAAGGAAGCTGCAAGGAAGTGGCTAGGTGCTCCCGTCACCTCACAGACTGTCCATAAAGAGCATCGAACTCTCGCGTCGCTTCGTCTTCGCCGAGCGAGTGTCATCTGAATTTGGCACCAACATGCCATTCAAAGAAGAATAGGGTGCCGAGGGCCCTGGAGGCTGGTTGTACTGTTCATTTCGGGATACCGGTTGGTCGTAGCTGGGTTGCATTGGGATGAACCCAGTGTCATAGTGTGTTCTTGGTCCTGAGTCTGCAGTCTCAGTGTTTCGGAAGGAGGTCTGGTGATACGAAGGTGTTGGAATGTCCGAGAACATTTGATGGCGAGGGGAACGAATATCATCGGGCGAGAGTGTGTGATCAACTGTCAGCTCGGTAGACTTGGCACAGCTCCTGTCGTCGCCAAAGATGCTGTCATAGTCTGTCAGGAACATGGAGAAAACCGGTGCCGGAATGTTGAGAGTTGGGGCAAAAACAATGCCCACGTTTCTGACAGTCATCTTGTTGACATCGGAGTTGTTGACAATTTCGAGCAAAAACTGGGACAGAGCTCGCAACAATGCCAGATTGGGCCTCGGCAATCGATGCACCAGAGAGTTGAAGGCTGCTACCTTCTTTTGACGATCATCAAGTTCTGGCAAAATTAGCAATATTTCGGCAACAGGAAAAGCGAAGACACATACCAAGAACGCGAAGGAAGTCCAAATGAAGCTCTCGGGTCAACACCGTGGTTGGAAGCTCTCGAAGGTATTGTTTGAAGAGAGAAGCCACAGCGTGGACGTCATAATACTGGTCTCCGGACACAAAATCAACATCACCCTCAGTGTTGAAACGTTCCTTCAAAGCTTTGATCACCACATTTGAGCCACTCAACCGGAAGATTCCCTCCTCCAGGGCTGCTTCCTTGGAATGCAGGTACTCAATACAACGATAAACCACCGCGGGCAGTTCCACATCAATGCCCGGCGGTGCACAGTCTTGCACAGCCTCTGCTAGGGGTATACCAAACACAGGTCTAACAGGACCGTTTCTCTCTGCCTGGACATTGCTGCTGGCAACCAAGGTTTCGCTGCTGGCCTGTGCTTGTGCAGCAAGGTCAAAGGAAGACCGGGTGCGGAAGCCCCATATACTGCGCTTCTTCTCTTTGGTTGATGTCTTTGCCTTGTTGCCCCAGGCTTCCACGTCCTGAATGACTGATCCGTTTGTAGGTCCAGATATCAGCCTTGGGGACTGCAGCGGTTGATCAGGAGAGGACATGGTCATGTCTCTGAAGTCTGTCGACAGAGCTGCCGGAATCCGTGGAGACCGAGGTGCTTGTTCGAGGGTGGAACCGATAGTGGGAGGCTCCGCTTGCACAGCGTCATCAAAGCTGAATCCCTGCACAGAGCTTCCAAGGTCTAAATCAGGACTATCAACTCCTCTGCCAGATTTCTTGCCTCCATTGTTGAATAACTTAGACCTAGAGTCAGCCCCAGATGGTTGTTTCCCCTGGGCCTGGTTGTTATCTTGAGGCTGAGTTTGACCCTTGGACACGCTACTACGTCCCTCGCTCTCAGAAGAAGCACTCTCGACATATTCCATGAGAGCATTCACCCAGGCATCCCGCTCTTCGTCGCTTTCGGCACAAAGGACATGTCGGACGAGTGCGGACGAATCCTTCTTCTTCGGTTCCAAGACTAGGAACGCATGACGATACTGGTTGTCGTCATCGTCTGCTGAGTTCGACAGTTGCTGATCGCTGGATTTCGGTGATTGCTTGCCGATCTGCGCATGATGGAGTTTAATTGTACCCATATGCGGACCACCCGGAGACTCAAAGTATCTCAATTCGGGTCCATCAAGAACAAAATATCTTGCTTTCCAACCACCAAAGTTTTTACCTCGCTTGGTCAGATAGCCTTCTTTCTGGGGATTTCCGTCGGGTCCACGGGGCATGTCCGACTTTGCAGACCCAGGACCTTTCAATAGACTTGTCTCGTCATCTCGAGGCTCAATGGCGTCGTTTGTCAAAAACTGGCAAACAGCCAGTGCAGCCTTTTCGTCCATCGGTGTATCCAAGAGACTGTCAAAGTATGCATTCAGCGCGGCACGCCTGGAATCGACCTTGGCAGGCGAGTGACCATTGAATATGCTTCTATCGGGCAATTTTCCGGCGAAGGAAGAGGTCTGTCTTATTTTTTGATCCAGAGGAGGCAGAGCCCCAATGACCTTCTCAACTCGCCAGAGTTCTGAGATCTCTGACCGAGAAATCACACTAAGTGTGAATACGGGCTCTTCATCCAAAGGCCGAGACATCATATAGCTGTTCCGGGAAGGTCGTAGCCGCGATGATGACACTCTGACTTGAATGAGAGGGAGGGCATTCGGGGGCAAGAGTAGGCCGGGGTATTCATCTGATACCAAGCCTTGATAGATTCTGTTGTCCTGGAAGTATGCAGGCCTTGGGCTGTCAATTTTGACCGTAGGATCAATCGAAGGCATAGGCCCCGCGGGTCTTCCATTTGAGGGGACTGGTGCAAAGTTGGACGGATAATTGGCCATTCGGGGAGAGAGCGGTAACCCTGGGGTCTGATACCCAGCCGTCAAGGGATTCGACGTATCCCGTGGCATGCGAGGCAAAGGAGACCCAATGGGTCGATCTTCTGGTCTCGGGCTTAAGGGCAATCCAGGGCTCATAGGCATGGAGCCGGCAGAACGTCCGTTAAAGGATGAAGCGGGGGTGGCTCGGGAGCCCAAAATAGACCCCAGGGAACTAGATTCACCTACATTCGGTGGTGATCTTGTAGCAAGTTCCCTGGGAATTGTCTCCGGGCTGCTAGATACTGCTGTATCCCGGGATCCGGAGGCGCCTGCCTCAGTTGCCATATTACCATAAGTGCCTATGTCTTTCTGCAGCGCAGCTTCGCGGTCCTGGTCATCTTGCTCTCTCGTCTTTCTCCTTCCGCGATCCACTCTCCCATTCGTTTGCTGGGCATCTCCGTAATCGGAATCAGAGTCAGAAGCTGACGGCGCCCTTCTTGTTTCGGCTTGTTGAAGGTTCAAAGGCGCCGGTGGTGGCTTACGACTGGGATGCGGGAATTTGCTTTTTCCATCAATCGGCGATGAGGTGTCTGTGGCAGATACCGGACTAGTAGTGCTTTCAAAATCTTTCCGTGTCGCGTCTGAGGGCGGAACAATAGAAGGCTGGTTAGCTTGCCACGAGGTGTCTTTCCTGCCGCTCTTTGCAGACTGCTCATCAGTCACGGTGGCAGAGGCCAACGTATTTGTGGTCGGCAATGGAGGCGCCTCTTGAATATCTTTCAGTTTCTTCCTATATTTATCCTTCTCTTGAAAAGCACGCTCCAAATCTTTGTTGAGACCGAGAATCAGAGTCCTTTGTTTGTCAACCAGTTTCCAAAGCTGCGCATTCTGAGAGGCCGCGTGGTGTTTCTCTTTCAGAAGGTGCACAATGACAGCCTCGGCCGAACCAGCGGCATTTATGAGGTTATTAATATCGGCTGGGCTCAGAGAGTTGACGTCAAAGGTAGATCTCTGGGAGGTGGAGGATAGAGAGGAAATCGCAGAGTCGATCGATGAGGTACGGGGCATGACACGGTGGGCAGGGCGATCCCCAGGCATCGAGTGCATGGAGCTGACAGAGGAGGATGCAGAACGATCGGGCTCTGGCGCACTTGGGGGTTTCGGTACATTATTCTCATCCAGTGATCCGCTCTTTTGGTCTGATTCAGGGCCTGCCATTATAGGCGATTGCGACGAGCTCTGGCCAGAGGACGGAGGGGCAGGAAATGTAGCATTGGCTACGCGGGCGATTGGCGACCGATTCTGGGAAGGCGAGGGGTTGGAGGATCCGGGAGACAAAGGGCTCTGGGAGGAAGCGCCGTCGACGCGATACGACTGAGGTAAAGAACTAGTATGCAACGGAGAAGGTGTTATATGTCGTGAGCCAGGAGCAGGTCCAGGGCGATCCGATCGAGCTAGATAATCCCGAGGGATGAGGCCGTTGTTCATCGATGGGTAGGAGGAGGACAGGTTTCTCGGGGTCGATGAACTCTCATCGCTGCCTCGTCGCGGAACTTGCGACATGGCTGGTACAGGGGTCGAGACTCATCAGAGGGTCACGTTGGGGGGCAACACGAGGCAAAAGACCGAGGGGCGAGAGCGCGGAATCCCGGAAGCTGAAAGCTTAAGCGCCAGGGAGAAAAAGGGGGGCACCACAACCGATACGTGAAGAAGTAATGTCGAACAAAAGAGAGGAGAGCTGGAAGAAAGTGAAGTGGGGGGAAAAGGGGGTTCAAGCTAAGTAGAAGCGTAAAAGCTTGGGAGTAGAAACCCAACAATCTTTTCCGACTGGAATTGCAGGAAGAAAAGAAGTGAGAGAGGAGAGGTTAGGATGTGGCTTTGTTTGGCAAGCAGTCCCTTGCCTGTTCTTATATAATTGCGTCAACTTGCCTTTCTTTACCCGCATAAGCGGTATACATGTAGTCCATAAACGTGTTTTATATGTTCTGCATCTTGCTTTCTTGCTCTTTCGCTGGTCAGATGCTATTGGCTATGCTAGATGGGTCTCCAACTATGTACTTGACGACCAAAATGCCATCTTCCTCAAATCCTCTACTGAGATCTCTGCTATTTGCGTGCAGGGGAATCTCGCATCGGGTACATTAGAACCAACTGTTGGCTCTAGCTGCAAATAATGCAGGGTTGAAATGTCAGCGCGACTCAAAAATTCCAACACACGGTGGAAGTTCAAAGCAACCTGGTCGACACCGTGACTGTCATCGGACAGACAGAAACGACCACCACGCGCGCCAAATTCCTGTGATCGGTCAGAATAGAACGATGAGGTTCGCAAGTGACTGACCTGGCAAATCTCTGCTTTGGGATACGGCTCACTCATCCCCTTCCGAAGAGCAGCGGAGTTAAGCTCTAACATCCCACCGTAGGAGGCAATGAAGTCCAAGTTCCGAAGGACCTTACTCCAGACACCGGGCCACGAGGTAAAACTGCGCTCCATATCATCGCTCTTCAGGCGAATCAAATCGAAATGACCCACAACAAGCGGCTGTAATTGCTGCAGCATATCTAGCTGAGCATCAAAATAGTCCTCGAATAGACGCTCGTCAGTACCACCGGCTAGATCTCGGGCCTGCTCATACATAGGCCGGTCGTAGTCGATAGGCACAGTGTGCATGTGATGAATTGAGCCGATAAAAAATTCAAAAGGAAAGCGAGAAAGCGAACGGTCAATAAGCTCTTTTGAGGCGGGACGAATCCAATCAATCTCGAACCCGATGATGATTTTGATCTGGGAGGCATATTTCTCGCGCAACCGAACTGCTTCTTCCCAGTAGGCTGCTTCATTTGTTTCGTGGCTGGCCTCTGTATCGCCGAATTCAACCTGGAAATTATCAGGCAAGAATTGAACCGAGGGTGAGCGTGATACATACTTCTTCAGGATAGAAATCTTCTTTGTGGCGGGGCATATGCTCAGTCAAGCAGAAGACTTGCATCTTCTTGCTGATGGCAGTTCGGACCACATCTTCCAAGGAATTTTGAGCATGACCGGGGCAGAATTGGCCCGAATGACTGTGATGTGAGAACGGCATATGCGAGAGAGTAGATGTACAAGGGGACTAATTCCAGAGGCCGGTGATAAGGATTCCCGCCCCGCCTCCACTCCGAATCCTGCTACTTGACATACACATTGCATTCAATGCTAACATGGGTAACCATATATTTAGCCCTGCAAGGATGCTATACAATCATGTCCGGTGCTGAAATGCTGAAATGATGCGCGGCTGTAACATTTTCTAAAGGTCACCTCGCGAGTTTGTATCAAGCCTGAGCAGTGATGGATCTAGCTTCAACTCGTGTTGATATGCAAGATATCGAAGCATCGAAGTCATTGTTCACTCCCAGCGAGAGTGAGTGACGCGTCGATAGTCGCACTCCAAAGCTATCACGGCGAGTATCAAGTGCTGGATGTATAGCCAGCAGAAGTATCATGTATTATAGCCACAGTGATGAGATAACCAGCAATGGATGAGCATTCAGCTTGCCGCCAAAACTGTAGCAACCACATACTCCCCATCATGGGAAATGGACAATTTGGCAACTCTTGCTTCACTTCCATCTTCCCTACTTCCCAAGTAGACAATCTCTGGCCTCCGACTCACGCCCTCTCCAAAATGCCCCCCATCTTCCTGAACCCGGATCATTACATCCTTCCACCCGAGTGAGGCCGCTCCTGCCGGCGCAGCTTTACGCGCAGCCTCCTTTGCAGCGAATCGTCCGGCGAGCCATCGCGTTATGTCCGACGGGACAGGAGGAGGTTGTTGGTGATAGGCGGAGCGCGCTTTAAGGCTATCACCGAAGCGCTTGTGGAAATCTTGCTGTTCTTGATCACAGAGGATGCGGCGGGTGAAGCGCGTAAGGTAGCCGCCAGGTCGCGTAAGGAGGCGGTTTATACGCGGGATGTGGACAATGTCTGTACCGATGTTGAGGGGAAACGGGAAAGGGAGAGGTTTCATGGTGATAGCTCAAGCGTTGAAGGGTGTGCGGAAATTGCTGCAGAGAGGTAGGTGCTTAGGAAAATGTTGCGGAACACAGTGAATACCGGTAGAGCTGAGCTGGCTACCTCAACCCGTGCAATGTCTTCTGAAGCTCGTTCGAGAACAAGGGGTAGACAGCCGGTTCTGCATGTCATATATCTTTCTGTTTTACGCCATCTACTCCATCTACGTTGCTTCCCGGCCTACTATCCGTGCAGGATTACTACTACTACTACAAGCGCCCCGAAGCTAGCTGGACAATACGCTGGAACTGCAGAGCCGCAAGTTCCTGACATAAACACCTTCAACGCGCAACAAGAAAGTGCAAGTGCCCAAATTACACAGTGCGGAATTTGGACGGAGCAACCACAATTCCCTTTCTCATCCTCCGCAATTGAACCCGCCTCGGTCGTGTGCGGAAGCAGATGCAAGGAACAAGTCTTAGGAGGAAAATTTTCTATGCAGCGTACACGCCTCCTATGTACAGATAAATCAACCTCATCCGCGAACTTCTCCAAATCGGTCCGTGCAGCTTCCCGAAAAATATCGTGGTCACAAAAACGTCGCGGAAGGGCGGATACATCGTTGCGCGCTATAAATGGCACAAGAACGGACGTGCAGTTCAGTTGAATTCAAGCTTTTGAGCTGCTTATCTTCGACCGCTCCATCAATTAAAACCGGGTTGAAGGAGTTGTCTAGTGTTGGTTGGGCTTCTTCTCGCCGCCATCAACCTCCTTCATGAAGTTCCTAGGAAGTATACAGTCAGTATTGAACTCGGTGGTTTGAGTAGAGAACAGAATCGCGTGGGGTTATCTTGAATGGCGTTGCACATACTGGATGAAGTTCTCCTCATCCTTGGAGGAAGCATTGATTGGGGGGCCCTGAGCGGTCTTGGGCTTCTCGCCACCGCTCATAGCAGCCCAGGAACCGGCGAAGATGCTGCCGAGGGTGGCCATGGCAAGCTGGTGAAGAAGAGGGACCCGGTCAGCTCTCATGTTTCACAAGTATCCGCACGAAGAGAAAGGGATGGCGGGTGCGCGGCGGTTCTCGCGGGTAGTTCGGTAAGACTTACGACGTGGGAGCCGACCTTCTTGCCAGCGATCTGGTAGTAGACAACCATTTTGTAGGTGTTGGATTGGGATGCAGCTAGAGGTTCAACTGGCGATGTGGACGGAATCCCTCAGGCTTGGACCAAGCGACGAGGTCGGCACGGAGACCGCCTTTCCTGATATGGTTAGAAGGATCAGCTGACCTCGGAACTTTGCGTGACTCAGTAATGACATAAGCATATCATGTGATGAGCACCCGGGTACGTCCGAATCGACATTCCCGGAGACGTCACTGGCGTATAAAGATCACGAGAGGCGTTGAAATGGGGAAGTATGTGTATACCGATCTCGTCATCGAATTGAGCTTTAGGTGGCACTCGGTTCATGCCGAATATTCTACCCCAGATCCCGGAGACTAACAACGGAACCTCGGGAAGTGAAAATTGCATACTTCGTATGTATAAGTTACCCCCCGGCTATGGCTGCGCCTTCGGCTATCCTAAGCGGTTAATATGAGGATTATTTTAAATACTATACCGCTTCTCCCCCCTTGCGCGTTCCTCATTCTTTCCGTACACTCTTTTGTTTCCCAAATACACGCTCCCTATATCATTTGAATCTACTTTCCAATATGGCTTGGGGCAGTCAGCAAGAGCCCCAGTCTCCTTCGCAGGAGTTGTTGGACAAGCCTGTAGTCCGTGAGAAGCTTCCCGCAAAACTGCAGCAGCTGGTTGATCGTGATGAAGACTTCTACGGCGATCTGTATTCCCAATAGTACGTCAGGGTTCAAGTTTGGGGGGAAGTTGTCGCGTGACCGAGGAGTGCTCAGGGTGTCCCACTTCCCGACTCACGTTCCAACTCCAATCAACGCAACGCGAATTCAAATACTAATGGGTACCTCTGACAGCTCCGTCAACTCTACGGACACACCATACCGATATGCTGCGTATGCCAATCGTATCCGCACCATTCTGGTCTCCGCCCACCGTTATGTCGCCTACACTTCAGACATCGGCGAGTCCTTCCGTCCTATCGCTCATCCATGGCTAGTACGATCGGCCTATGGTATCTCATGGACCTATCTATTAGGCGATGTCGGTCATGAAGGATACAAGGCATATTTGCGCAACCGGAGAGCCCTGACGCCCGCCGGCGAGGCCTACAAGGATGCTAGCGAGATCTCACAAGACCAGATCATCAAGGGCATGGCGACAGGCAACATGACAATTGGGAATCAAAATTCCGAATCCAAAGACGCGCCATCAAATTGGCCCACCCTGGAAATCCCACTTGCGGAAGATTATCGTATGGTTATGGCTAAGCGCGCGGTGTTCCAGAGCATCGCGAGTATGGGATTACCCGCCTTCACTATCCATAGTGTGGTCAGATACTCGGGGCGTATGGTGAAGAATGCCAAGGTGACATTTATTCGTACCTGGACACCTATTGGAGTATGTACCCTTTCTCCAGACCATAATGTATGCTAACCATGTTTCTCATAGCTTGGTCTCGCCGTTGTTCCGTTCCTCCCATACATCTTCGATCACCCTGTCGACGAAGCAGTCGAATGGGCCTTCCGTACTGGCCTCCGTGCCTACGGCGGCGAAGCTGCTGTTCGCCCACTGCCCGGTCGGAGTCTCCCACCGAGAGAGGAAGAAGAGAGCCGCGCAGTAGCGGCGGCAAATATTTCATGGGACGAGTATAAGGCTGAGCGGGAACGATCCCGTGAGCTTCGTCGCCAGACCGAGAAAAGCAGCAGTGGAATCGCGTCACTTACCAGCTGGTTCGGGCGGTCTGAAACAGACTCGGAGAAAAAGAAGGAGTAAGGTGATCGAACCTGCCTGAAGTTCATCTCTAGAGTATTCTCTTTTTCTCATGTCTCGCTTATGAGCACCTCTCCCCTTGTCACCTCTTGTACATACCACTATCACCTCTCTGATTTCCTACTTTCCTGATATCCACCGGTGTTACTAATGCATATATATATATCCATGCATATTTCTGATCAAAAATCATATTCATCTCAACTACTCCCACTGTCTCATAGGACGGCATCGAGTGGAGCTGTGCTGTGTGCCTTAACCAGATCATGCATCATTCGGTACCTCAAAACCTTCCACCCGGACTGACTTTTTCTGACACACGATCAAACGAGCCAGCCTCAAGCGATCATCCCTTCCAAGCACCTGAGGGCTCTGGTGAGGATTCTTCACGATCAACCCAGCGTAGTCGTGTTCGAACACCACATCTGCAGACCACTCATACATTGGGGACCGCTCTCGAAAGTAATATGGTCTGCCGTGCTTCATGACCACCTCATACAACCTGCGAAATTCTCGGGACTTTCCCGTCATGATCTCCCCATTTGATAGTACCACCACACTGGCGTGCCAAGGCATGTCACCAAACAGGTCCCCCTGGCGTAACAGTGGTATGGAGATCTTGTTTCCTCCCAAAGAAGGATGAATTGACAATCGAATATGTTTCCCCAGTGTGATGTGAATTACCGCCTCGTATGCCTGACCAATTAATCTAAATGTCAAATTTCTAGACGAAACACACCGTGAGCACCTCCAAACTTACAACAAGCCGGTTGATCATGGTCTTCGCCACCTTGGACACCTCTGTCGCGTACAGCGCTGGATCAGATGCCACAACAGGGTCCAATCCATTGGCCCATTTCAGATCCTCGGAGATGCGACTAAAGTAGCCCTCATAGGTTGCCATGGTATCGGGGTTTGTTTTCAGCTCCTGGTCTACATCGAATTTCGGATCACAGTATGGGGGCGACATCAGCCTGTCGCGGCAGACGGGAACGAGACGCAGGTAGTCAGCCTTGGAGACCTTCTCGCCATCACCAAGTCCCAGTAGATCCATCAACCGAATGAAATGGATTGAAGAAAAGCGTTTCTCATGGGCAATATTTCGCAGCTGAATGCCATAGTCGTAATATTCATTGGCAGGAACACCAACCAAATCTGCATCGTCAGTCACATTCAACACTCCAAGGCATCACATACCATTATACACAGGCCCGTCACAGATGAGGATCAGACGGGCACCGTAGGGATAGACTGTTGAGATCTCCTCACACAGGTGATTCAGGCTTGCCAGACCCAATTCGTCTCCTAAATCAGCCCCTTCGCCCAGTACTTTGTCCTGGTTGGGGGTTTTCCACGGAAATGCAGGCAAAACCATAGTAATTGGTTGGTTTGCTGCAATATCAACCTTCAACTTCTCCGGCACAGAGTCAAACACCTTCCCAATTTCTTGACCATCTTGGCCCTGATGCAAAGAAAACCGTTTCAGAATCTTGACGACCTTTTGAGGCACCTCATCTGGCGCGTATTCGAACTTCATGATGAAGAGGGTAAAGTGAAGAATGTGCCGATGGGTTACGAAGACATATGCAAGGACTCTGCTAGTCTACCTGAGCAGTCACATCACCTCCATATTCCCACCTCCCACATTTTTCCGTCCTTGCACTATCTCATAAGATGGCTCAGAATACATCCCAGAGGGGAGTCGAATATTCCAGTACTACCGCCGATTCCTCTTACACAAGATCCGCCACGACGTACACCACCTTCAACGAGTGCTCTCCGTTATTTGGTTACCCTGAGTGTGTTCCCGAGACTCAAGAAGTTCGCGAAGATGAAGGTGAAGATGAACGACTCAAGTGCGACAATAATAAAATACCCGATGGAGGGTTTGTGGCTTGGACACAGGTTCTGAGCGGACATCTGGTTGTGTTCAATGTATGGGGCTATATTACCTCGTAAGAGAACCTTGTTGAGACCGACCACAGCTGTTGATAAATGGTAGGTATGGATTCTTTCAGGAATACTACGTCAAAACCCTAGGTGCTAGCCCGGCCAATGCCTCCTGGATCGGAGCGATGCAGATGTTCCTCGTCCACTTCCTGGCAACTTTCTCAGGACGGTCGATGGACGCAGGATATCTGCGCCAATGTATAGCTCTTGGATGTCTCTTTCAAGTTACCGGTGCTCTTGCAACTTCATTTGGGACTCAGCTATGGCACTTCTGGCTGGCCCAAGGCATTCTCAGTGGAATTGGTCATGGCCTCGTCTTCAGTCCTATGATCTCACTATATGCAACCTACTTCTCCACCAAACGAGTGATGGCTGTGTCACTGGCTTCTTGTGGTGCAGCCACTGGAGGAATGGTTTTCCCCGTGGTTGCCTACAAGTGTTTCGATACCATTGGATTTGCTTGGACGGTTCGAATAATGGCGGCTATCATACTCGCTAACAGCGCCGTCATTGTCAAGTTCACCCGGTCAAGGATTATCCCGAGGAGTATGCCTCCCTGGGTGGATTTCAGTGCATTCCGCGAGCGGTCTTACCTCCTCTTCTCAATAGGATCATTCCTAATCTTTGAGGGGATCTATTTTGCATATATCTATGTAAGTCTGGTCTACCTTTGGAGACGTGAGGCTAACACTATGTATAGATCCGACAATATGCTCAGGTCCATACCGGTTTCACTCCGAGCGATTCACTTCTCATTTTGATCATCATGAACGGGGTTGGTGTTCCAGCCCGTATTGCAGCTGCATTTGTGGCGGACCGCTGGATAGGTGCAGTAATGACCTGCATTGCAGTCTCCATCCCTTGCGGGATTGCGATCCTCGCTTGGATTGCGGTTCACACCCACTATGGCATGTTCATTTGGGCCACGATATATGGACTACTAGTCAACTGTGTACAGAGCCAATTGCCAGCTGCAAACGCGTATTTTGGATCAAAAGACCCAGAAAAGTCCGGAAGGCGTGTCGGGATGATCACCACGATCAACAGCATTCCGCTGCTGACAGGCCCTTACATCGCAGGGAAGTTGATCGATCTGCGGGGAGGCGACTACTTGTACGCGCAACTATTCGGTGGCCTTTGCATTCTGACTGGAACATTGTTTGTAATGGGATCTCACCTGTCGGATGTCAAAACATGTACATAATGTTCATTGTCCAATGGCTATACCGAAGTTGTGTTAGTCGCTTATCACAAGCCACCGCCCATACCTTCACCTCTCTCATATCTCTCAAGCTGACATCTCCCCTGGAATGTGCGTCTCGCTCTCGCTTTTCTCCTTCCGCAGTTGCCCTTGACCAACCGAGTGCACAAAATGGCACATCGTGCCAGACCTCTTCATTACCACATTCCATTATTCCCTGGATTCCAGCTGCTGGATGTAGCAGGCCCGCTGGACATTCTCAACATCCGCACGCAGTACACAGACACCGCAGACATTTCCCTGACCGTATCAGCAGAGACCTTAGACCCAGTCTCGGTGAAACCGGTGCCGCCCCCTCACGCAAAGTGGCATTTTGATCTCCCCGAGTCTGACCTGCAGGCCTGTAACCAACACATGGTGCCACAGCGCACCTTTGCAGAAGTGGTCTCTGCCCTGAAGGAGAACGACGCCAATTGTGATATCAAGCCTATTGATGTGCTGATTGTCCCTGGAGGTCTGGGGACGCGACTAGACCGGATATACGGGAAGTCTGACAAGGTCTCCAACACACAGCAAGTTCGGGATTTCATCACCGCTGTTGCACCCTATATCCGTCACAGTGTCATTACTATTTGTACGGGAAGCCACGTCCTCGCACAAACTGGCCTACTAGACAATCGTCGGGCAACAACAAACTCCGCCCGCTTTGACGATGTTATTGAACAGACGCGCCAGGTGAACTGGCAGCGCGATAGACGATGGCTACGAGATATTGTACCAATGGATGTACCAACCGGGTCCTTGCAGCCAGGAACTGAGATCTGGACCTCTGCTGGGATTACTGCCGGTATCGATGTCATGTTGGAGTATATATCCGCCCATTATGGTGGCGTGGCGATTGGAATACAGACTGCTAAGCGAATGGAATATCGCTGGGAGCGAGAGCGGGCAGCTTCTTACTTTTTGTGAAAGGAAGCTATACTCGTCTCGCACACCAGTGAGTGGACGTCACTGAACATGTTAGTTTCGAATCTTCTATCTATACACTCAATGTGATGGTCATTGTTCGCATTGAAATATGCTTTGCAACTCTGCCCTGTCTAGCAAATATAAATAGCGAAGTCTGGATTTTGGCCCCTCCATTCCTGTTTCTGTAAGGGATAAGTTCCACCATGAAACGTGATGTTATGTAGCGTGACTAGTGATGACCACTGAAGCCATGTGGCCTACGTACTGTAGTAGACTAATCTAGACATAGAAGGGCAGTGGAGGCTACAAGTCTCATACATTGACATATTTCTATGATTCAATACGACAACGCGAGAGAGAAAGCGAGAAATGAAGGGAGAGCGCGAAGCACGTGTCTCAATCAGACGAGAATGTCCAAATGATGTAGTCTTCCAGTCCTATTTCGTTGGTAAACTCTTCTCGGCATGGACTTCATCCCGCAGTTCATATCAAGTTGATACCAACATGCTTGCTACGAAGATAGTCAGAGCACATACACATCTGGACCTCGTCTTTTCCGGTCGAGCAGCTCTTCTTCCCAATGCCCGTGTCTTTTTCCTTCCAAGACCGCACCCAGTACCTCGGAAACCAGAAGCTGCGCTCGCTCCAGCTGATACGCCGGTGATATGCCCCGTATCCGTACAATTAAAGGCAGAGGAGGTAATGGACATCGTGGAAGGATATGGCTATCCGGAACGAACAGCGACAGGAGAGTGGCTCGGCCGGTCATCTTTCATGCCACGCGTACAGACGCATATCACGAACAACAGAACAATTCCTCTGGTCCTACCTGCATTCCCAATGAAAAGCAACAACCGCACGGATAAGGTTTTAGGCGCATTGCCAGATCTTGGGGAAGAGCTTGGTTTGGCGAGGTTGGCAAATCTATGTCGGGATATCAAGGCTGTGTATCCGCCTGGTGCGGTTGTGGTCATTGCCACTGACGGAATTTGCTATAATGGTATGATGATGCCTCTCGTCTAAGAAGATGGCTAACCCGAGACTCAGATTTAACTGGGACCTCCGATGACGAAGTCTGGGAATATGGAAATCGACTACGGGAGATTGCCATTGAAAAGGGATACGGCTGTATCCAATTTAATCGGATCATGAATATACTTGGTCTCTATTGCCGCGAGAAGATCTCTAAATCAGAATATCTGAAGCTCTGTGATGTATCACGAGCAGATCTTCATCAGCGGTATGGAAGACTAGGATTTGATGTTGACGGGTTTTTGAAGAGTAATGAGGACTATCTTCGAACATATAATGGTAGGCACTTTCTTATAACACAATTATACAACTAACTTGCTACAGGATATGACAAGTTCATGAAGATCGACCTCAAATTTAGTCCGGTGACCGAAGACTGTCCCGGACCAAAACAATATAAGAAGAGGATTAAGATCATAGCAAAGGCTATGATTGTTCGTGGAGTGGTACGTTTTCTAAGCATCGGAAATGGCTCAATCACTCACACATAAACAGGAATATGCAGAGCTACTACGCCAGGTCTACCCAGATGCATTACGCCTCTCTATCCATCCCTCATCGGGACAGACAAAGCTATCGTGTCCCTTGATCCCACAGATAGATTCATTCTCCATGAGTCCCTGGCACTGCAGTGTTGCAGTAAAAACGGACGGTACATTCATTACAGCCCACAAATCCTCACACCGGCCGAGCTTTGACCTTGTGGAGCGGAATGGGCAGCCATATTTCTTCCGAGAAAGGTCGCCGCTGTTCAAATGGAATGCTGAAGTAGATTTTGAACACCGATATGGACAGAGCCTGGTGATTCGACAAAAGGCTCCGAATGGGCAACTCTCTGACTCGGACCTGGACAAGTTGGCATGTCTGGCTATTAAACATAAGCTTGTGAATTTCGTCTATATTTGATACCCTGTTTGAAGATGGAATCTTTCGGTCAACGTTAACTATCAATTTCGGTTATCCGCCTCAATGATTTGAACTTCCCTAGATACTTCTCTACGAGAATGAACATGACATTAATTGGAACTGAGCCATGTACTGTCATCGAGAATCACAGGGTAATATCAATAACTCGTGAAACATGCAGTCAATAGCTCCATCAATAGTTGAAAATGATAGATTCTCAACCTGCAAGGTCTGCAGCCACCAAATGATTAAAACAAACAAGCCTGCACTACTTAAAATATACAATGGAAGGGTCAAAAAAGACAAGGAGATTCACTCATCCCATTCAGTCTCATATCTAAGAAGACCACCATACACTCGACAATTCCATACATCTGTACAAAATCACAAAATAAACACAAGCAAAACACAATGTTACAACAGAGAGACGGGCAGGAATCGAGAGAGATAAAGAGAGAGCGGAAATGGGGGCGAAAGAGAGCAACCAAATGCTTCAGGAGAACCCAGCCACCCAAAACCAAAATTAATGTGCAAGTCCAAAGACAAAATGACCAATAAATCGTAAGAGCTTCCAAATAGAGACATGAGCCAAAGAGTGAGAGAAAATTTTCATCTCATATTCAATTGTCACCGTGCCTTTGAAAAGGGAAAAAAAGAAAAAAAGGTATTTGGTGAACATAAGGGGGAATAATTCAAGAAATGAAAAAAAGCGACACACGCAGCGACGACCAATCGTCGCTCGGAGTATCATGTGAAGAAGGAAAATGGCCGATCAAAAATTGCACAGAAAGAAGATATACGTGATATGTGACATGTAAATCTGACAGTGAAAAGGAAGTTTTGTGCAGTCTCTCGGGTCCCTGCCTCTATCGGAGAGGTGGCGAGCATAAGCGCATCGGAAGGAGCAGTTTCCCGGAAGGATATAATGTCTTCAAATGTCTGATGCCCTGTATGAGTTTGTCGTAGCAGGTCCAAAAGGGAGGGGTGTGATGGGAGAGGCGGTCTATACGCTGAATTGTCGAAACACGTCTAGTTCCATCCCAAAGAGTTTTCGGCCATGACAGGGGCACTGATCATCTGAGAGCGAGCAGTGCCACGGCTGTTCTGGCTGGGGGAAGTGCGGCCACCGGCAGCGAAAACGGAGCCGGCTGCGGAGCCACCCTGGCTCATCTGCTCGACAGTCGAGCTAGAGCGCTGGTGCAGCTGCTTTCTCTTGCGGTAACGACGAGCAACCCAGAACATACCAGCACCGTAAGCGGCGGCACCGGCTACGACGCCGACACCAATGCCAACGGAGCTAGCCTTGGTCTTGGAGCTGTTGGCGGAGCCGTCGCTGTTGTTGCTGCCGCCGTCGGTGCCGTCATTGTTGCCGTTGCCGGTGTTTCCAGTAGACGAGTCGCTACCACCGGTAGGGTAGTTGCCAGAAAATTCCAGAGGAATCGTGGGGTCAACCATGGTCATCAGCGACTGGATAGATTCACTAGCCTGGTTGTAGAGAGCAGAGTTAGGGTTGACCTTCAGGGCTCTCAGAGCCTCGACCTTATCGCGGGGGAAATAGAAGATGGCAAGGGTGGCGTTATAACCGGTAGCTTGCCAGTTGTAATAAGGTTCGAGCGCGAACATGACGGGATAGTCCTTGGCGGCGAGAGTGGGCAAAGCGTTTTCAATGGCCTGCGGGGTGTAGTTGAAGATCTGGGACGACGACAGAGGAGTTGTTGCCACGAAGGACCATGGCAGCTGGCCGTTGAAACCCAACTGGAGCAGAGTCGAGTCAGACGGAGCCTCGGTAACCTCGTTCGATGGTGTGATAGAACCAGGGAGGGAGGTTGCCTGGGGCTTCTCGGTCTGACCAGAAGCTGTGGTGTGGGTTGTGGCAACGGTAGGCATAATGAGAATGGTTGATGGCATCCAGTCGTTTTCGTTGGAGGTGGATGGCAGGGGAGTCTCGGTTGAGGTGGTCTGGGGCTCCACTGCGGTCTTGGTCGTGCTCGCCTCGCTCGTCTGGGGAAGAGGAGTGGAGGCAGGGTGAGAAGTGGGCGTCGGAACCTGGGGAGTCTCGTGAGAGCCACTACCAGGGACAGAGGCGGTAGCGGAACCGGAGCCAGACTCCGCACCCGGCGAGTGCGGAACGGGAACCGATCCAATGGAGTTGGTCGGGGTTGGGACACCACCACTGGTGGTGGTGCCACCGATTCCAGGAATGAGAGGAGACGACTTGGACGGCAAAAGACTGCCGGCGGGCATCGACACAGTCGGGATCAAGGCAGTGCTACCGGTTCCTGTGGGGGTGATACCAAGCAGAGAATCCACGCCGGACACAAGACCACCAAGAAGATCGCCAGAGGTAGGGGTGGCCGAGGCCGGAACCGAGGTAGTGGCAGAGGCTGGGACGTTGACTGGGATTGTAGGCAGGATGCTAGAGTCGGATGCAGTAGCAATGGTGCTGTTTCCAGAAGAAGAGTTGTCACCCAGTAACATACCAAGGAGGTCGGTTCCTGAGCTTGTGGTAGAGCTTTCCTTGGGGCTGATGGCACTGGCGGTCGCAGAAGCGAGGCTGCTGGTCGAGCCACCCAGGCCAAGATCGTCCCCAAGGGAAGACAGACCGGAGCCTACTACGCCGAGGAGACCCTCAGAAGCAGAAACAGGCGTGCTAGAGGCCTTGGCAGCCGACGAATCGGTGAGGGTGGCCGGGGTCGAGGTTACAGAAGCAGAAGCAGAGCTGCTAGTTGAACCACCCAGGCCAAGGTCGTCCCCAAGGGAAGACAGACCAGAGCCTACTACACCGAGGAGGCCGCCGTTGGACGAAGACCCAGCCGTGGTAGAGGCTGTCGTAGAGGGGGTGGTAGAGGCCTGGGCCGATGAACCGGCAGTGGAAGCCGGAGTTGCAGATGCGGAGCTGCTGGCTGACTCACCCAGGCCAAGGTCATCCCCGAGAGAAGACAGACCAGAGCCCACTACGCCGAGGAGGCCGCCGTTAGAGGAAGACGCAGCCGTGGTAGAGGCTGTGGTGGAGGCCTTGGCAACCGAGGAGTCGGTAGCAGGCTGTTGCTGGCTCGTGGTGTCAGCATCAGTGGAGGGAACCTCGGAGTTCTTCTGGACGCTGTTATCCGTGCTTGATCCATCGGTTTTCTTGGTGGTTGTGGTTGTAGTCGCAGTCGGCTCACCACCAATGGTCGTGGTACCGGTAATACGGTGGGTGATCTCAGGGTTCTTGGGATCGACGGAGATGGTCACAACGACAACTTCCTCTCCCTTCTGACTCTGAGCCGCGGCGGGGGTGGACGAGGGCTCCGGTGTAGGAGTGATCTCGGGCTGGGAGGAAGAGCCTTGGGTCACAAGGTTTTCGAACACGTTGTCGATGAGCGAACCTGCGTCGGGGTTGAAGTTACGGTTGTTGCGAATCGTTCGCTTCACCTCGCGAGGGAAGTACCAGCGCGGCCGTTCCACGTGCGCGTTGGCAGCATCCTGGGCAGCCACCACATCAAGGCCTCCAACAGCGATGAAAGCCACGAGAAGAGAAATGGCGTCGGGACGCATGTTGTATAAATATGCACGTGCTAACAGAGAGCGCGTCCACTGTCAGTGGAAGTGAATATTCAATGAATACCGTCAGTCAACACCTCGTGAAAGATCAGGGGGTGTGACAAAAGGTATATGGCCTAAAAATCTTGAATTTCCAACACGACCGAACCTCACGGTGATATGAGACGTGGGAATCGATGCCTAGGCAACCAGCTAAGACAAGTGTATAAAACGAATGGAAGGGGCGATATAATCGACCCGGGGGCGAAAAGCGAGTGTGGGCTTGAAGAAGCAGTAAGGAGCGAACAGACGACCTTAAGGTAGAACAGGGCGATCAAAGGGAAAAACGGGGAGCGACCGATGCAAGGGGAGCGGATTGGCTCCAGGTCTCGAAGCCAGAGCTAGGCAAACAAAAGGGGGGAAAGAAAGGAGTGAATAAGGTGAATGAAGTCGAGAGAAGAAGGATCTCATTAGGGGGGAGAGAATGGGGGGGAAGAGTAATTTACGGGAAATTGTGTATTGGCGCTTGGTGTCAGGTACAATTCTTATAAACACGCACCTTTATCTATAACATTACTCCCTATTAGTTACAATAGCTAGGCTCCCCTAAATTAAGCTAGTTAATTCAATTAGATTAGGTTAAACTGAAAATTATGTATGTCATGCCATATAGAGTATCTCTTGAGATCTGTATTCAACCTGCTCTAATCCATAGATGTCTAGTTACGCATACATAGAGAAGCCCCAGACTAGGTGGATCTGTACCTGAACGTGGCATTAAGTGCGTGGCTTTACTATTATCCCGCGTGTACAAGTATTACCTCCGGCTCACGTTACCACTTCCAACGTTAGTGGCTTAGGTCTTGGCCTCTTTTGGCATGATCAACAAGAATCGCTTCGCTAAGAATTGGCCCCCGTGTTATCATCGAGTTCTTCCTAGACTCAAAATTGGGACATGTTACTCTGTAAGCGTTCACGTTAACTTAGTTAAAGTGAAGTTGTGTAAGTTAACTCAAGTTACTACTCACGTTAAGTTAACTTACTCCGTATATGTACAATCTTCCAATTCCCATCCATTTCAGATAGGCAATGATTAAATGCGCCACGTGCGCCGATCGGAATGTAGATACTTATTGCGAGTATATTTCCCCTCATTTTGTCGTCATTTTGAGATGCTCAGCATTCCTGGCGAGTTTGAGATTCTGTCCACTGCCAACTAACTTACTTCATCCTTCGAATTAGTAAATGGTGGCTGCTGCATGTCTGCAGTCAATTCGAGCCTTCGACGCAGGAACAAAAAATCGAAAGTCAAAGCTTATGTGAGCCGTTAATATAGGCTCACCCACATTCCAAGGTTCCTTTGTTGGATTTCACAGTTCCAGTCACGAACTTCTTCAGCCTATTCCTTTCTAGCCATCGACCCTATAAGTTACTTGATATTTCCTGAATGGGGAAATTCATCATCTGTACCAAGGGCCGCCAAGGACGCTAGTCCTGTTCCTGAACACTAAAGCTCTGGGCTCCACCAGGCCACCCGTGGTAATGACTGGTACTGATTGAATCTTGCTTACATTAATTACAAGGAGCCTTGGCTGGACACAGTGTAATATTTCCAAGTACTGTGTAAAATATACATACTATAGTCATGTGACTAGACGCACACATCAAATTTCTGCGAACATTCTGGCCAGACCGGGCATGCGTACGATGACAGTGGAGTGTCACCCACGTCATGTCTCAAAGTCTAGAACTCCGATTGTTGCCACTCTTCAGTCCAGAACACTCAATCTCGACATCCGTTCCCAGCGGGAGGGACTTGACGCATACACAAGTACGTACCTATGATGATGAGCATCCACATAGAAAATTCTAGAAGGTTATCAGGGCTTACTGGCTTGGGATCCACAAAGAACTGGGTGTAGACTTCATTGACAGCAGGGAAATCAGCCATGTCTGTCAGGAAGATGTTGACTTTGATGGCATTATGAAGGCTCGATCCTCCGGCCTCAAGGACGGCATTGAGGTTGCGCAAGATTTGTCGCTATGCCTGTCAGTGCAATCACATATGGTACCCAAGTCGTGTTGACTTACCGTTCTGTCCTGGATGCTGCCCTCCACCAGCTTACCTGTCGAGTCTGCCCCCACCTGTCCAGAGCAGTAGACCACGTCACCGACTATGAGGCCCTGAGAGAGGAATGGAGGTGGTAGAGGGGCTCTCTCAGTGCGAATAGGAATACGTGTTGCCGACATGGTGGTTGAAGTTGTTGAGTTGACATCCCGCATTCTGCGGGGATTAATAATAACATTTGCCCCACCCATACATGCGTTATCTTTCTTAACAGGTTGATTAGAAGGTGCAACGGCTATTGATCTACCGGGTTTGTGCTGTCTCATCTCCTGATCCAAGTAGGTATATATATCTCAAACAAGCACCAGCAACATTTATTGATCTTTTTCAAATCACAAAGCACCCTTCACCGGGTCCACCGAAGACAATATAAAAATGGAAAAAACAATGCATTAAAACGTCTGCAAATGTATGGATGAAGGCTAATGTTATAGAAACTTACGCAGTGCAATAGGCTACCTTGGTAGTCCTCGGCATACACTTCCTAGAATCCTTGAGATATATCTGCAATATATACTCCAAACTTACTGATCCATTGGCATGGTATCTAACACCACAAGTAACTATAACATGTCAAATTATATCAGGACAGTCATGCAAGGACATTGTGAGTTGAGGAAACACAGAGGAAAAACACCACGGACTCCAAGGCGCACTCACATTGATGATTTCACTCATCCTACGCGTGCCTTGACTTTCAATTCTCACAACTTCTTCCCTGAGCAACCTGAACTCCCATCTCTACTGTCTTCGCCGCCACCAACACAGAAATTTATCCTGGATGTCTTGAACAGACGAAAGAAGCATCTCCCAAAAACCTCGATACGCACAGTGCTCCATACTCGACATGGAGGTCCAAGGCAAGCCCAGTATCGCACCTCAGCCTGCCGACCCCAATACCACACCCGCAGCTCCTGACCCTCACGAAGTCGACGTTCATGGCCTCACAGCCAGGTTCTTTCTCAAAAGGCCCATCGAGGACCTGATCCCAGTGCGCTTTCTGATGCAAGCTGAACAACACCGTAAGTTTGCCTGTTTCTCCAGTGGATGTATCCCCCTCACTCCACTCCCTGTTAGCCTGGCTGCTTTTTGTTGATCATGGACCGGCATCTGAGCTCTCCGAGCATGTGTTGCCTGTTCATCGACAGCTACATTGCTTGCATGACCTACAAACCATTGCCTATCACATATCGGTGATCAAATGAGTGTCATTTGTGCAAGAAGCTGGCTAATGCTTATGTTCTTACGTCACAGCTGTCACCCACCGCAAGGCGTGGATTTTTCGGGATGGCACCCAAGACGGACGAGATGTCGACCTGGATGAGTGGTCACCAGTCGATATGCGCTACCGTGGAGTGTTCAAGTCCCTTGCAAAGGTCCCACAATTTACCAAAGGGCTGTGGGAAGGTGGATGTGAGTTGTTCGACTATGATGTGGGCACCAAAAACCCCAGGGTGCAAGCCCATGTCATCTATGCGCTTCTGCATGAGATCGGTGACATGTTGAATATCTCACGACCAACTAGTAAGGAGGATGTAATCTTTTACGCAAAGTGAGTCGATATCACTTCGCCCTCTGGTCCATGGCACTGTTACGGTGACAACCGCGTCATGCCAAATCATCGCTGACTGTACTTCTCACCAGACCGCGTCTTGTTTCCCGCCCACTTGAATACTGGACAGGCTATCGGGAGAAGTACAAAGATGGACCACGTGCTTCAGGTTTTCTATCACTCGATTTCCATCCCCAACAGGACTTTTCGGTTTCTTTGTATCCAGTTTCAACGGTAATTTGCTACGATTTGTCTTCAGCACAATATACTGACAGAAAAGCAGACCACAGAGGCTGAAACCTTCAGCTCATGCCTTCGAGAAAAGTTCAAGCTCATTCTTGGCCAGCTTCTTTTACACCTGCGACGTCTCCGCGCCCCGGGAGATAAGATTCCAGACCAGGAAGCTTTCTTACTAGGCCTACATGGCTCAAAGCTGCATATCTTGCGAGCATTCTTCCCAGGCCAAAAGACCTCAAGTATTTGGTGCCAGCGCGAGCTCCCAATGCCTGAGATTTCCATATCTGGCCTCACAATCCAAGACAAAACACCCAGTCCTCCGGCCTCTTACACATCAGATACGAATGACGGACAGGCGTACCATATTGAACACACTGCAGAAGATCATCCAGAACACGCGAGCAACACTACAGGAAATACCAACCGTCGACGATCCCAGAGCAACCGCTTCTACTCTGCTGAGAACATCGAGCGAATCCGCCAACACCTGGAAGAAGCCAAGCTCAGCACCTTAGACAACGAGCTCGAGACCCGCACATTCCGCGTCCTCGGAACTCGCGAATATGACCTCTGGTACCCAGAAGATTTCAAGGCAGCAGTTCATGCCCTTGCTGCATTAGAGCTCTACCTATTCAGCGGCGAAGCCCGTTGCGGTGGCCTACAAGAAATCTTTGAATGGAACCCCTATGACCCGTACGATGGTCGCAGTGAAGACAATTGGCCAGTGCAAAGCGATGCAGAGCGTACTGCCCGGCTGGAGACCGACATAAAGCTTGAGCAGCAAATGTTTGCTGAACAGGAGGAAGACCTCCGGCGCGAGGAGGTTATTCGCAGGGCAGATGATCGGGAGGCTGTTCGGCTGAGTGAAGACCTGAGGAGTTCTGGAGGGGATCGTATTGGCAGTCTGAGTGAGTCAGATGCAAACAGCAACTGCTGGGACTGGATCTGGCCAGATGATGAGACGGATGTCGGAGAGATGAAGGAGAATAATGCTGATACGGACGATGACATGATCATTGGGCAACTAGATCCGGTCTTCAACCCGTAAGGTTTGTCTATGGTCAGACTGAGAAAAAAAATATGTGAAGGGCGTTGAATAATCCTAACTTGCGAGCCCTAATGTGATACAATCTGTGAGAGTTGAACTGTGTTGGCCTTGTGTACGATACCTCGAAACCAACGAGAAAGAATTGAAATAGCACATTACCGAAATCACTACTAACTCGATTGAGGGCACTTATGGATATCTTTGCTTCGTTCATTGTAAATCCAGAGCCAGCAAGCAGGAAAACCAATCGATAAGAGCGAAATAGCTCGAAATGCCCCAAAGCATAAGATCCAAATGGGCTCAGATAAATCTAACATTTCATACTATGATGTGTCCCACGATATGATGATGGGTGTAAGTTGTTAGACATCCGCAGTTGAGATTCAATCCCAACGACGCCGGTCCGACTCGAACACAGTAAACCCATCAATTCCACGGCCGTCCTTTCCACCGGTGCGGAAGAATTCCGTCACGACTCCGATAGCATAGCAAGTTGCTACAGTAATCGTGCCTCCAAAGAGCATTCTGCGGCCTGCTTTGCGAAACAACGAGTTAGGCTTTGTTGGTTTTTCGTCTTCATGGCCCGATGCTGAGGATGGCTAGGCGGACGTGTTAGGACACCACCAGAATAGACAATTTACTGCCTGCTCACCTGGAATGCCTTGGAAGACTCATGATGCAATGCTTTTGGTTCGGCCGGGCTATCGCTCAAACAATGAGGATCCTCATGCCCTGCCTGGTGTGTGTGATTTAGAGCATCCGGGCGTGAAGCATTCTGAATCTTTCGGAAAACAAGTATGTCGCCTCCCCCGGTTGCAATTTCGTAACCATTTTGCTGCATCTTGTCAAAGTAAGGTAGGAATTTGGCGGGGTTGTGAAGTCGGAATAAGATTTCACTTGATGTAACACTCTCGTTGATACCAAAGAATGAGCTTGCTTGAGCTGTTGTTACTTGGGATGTTGATGCGTCGTAAGCAAGGATATGGAATTCAGGAGAGAGGTGACGAGATGGTGTTTGATTCTCATTCTCAGTGGCCAGCTTTTGTTGTTGGAGATAAAAGTCACCTACACGGTCCTCGGAAGCATCAAAATCTAACGAGCGTGTCTGTTGTGTCTTAGTCTCCTCAGAAGCGTGTTGAGCACGAATGTCGCTGGCTTGCAATGTACCCAGATTTTCAGCCTTGAAAAAGCTCTTGGCACCTGCCACATCGGAAACCAACTTCGCTTCCAATTCATTTCCAGGTGCACATTCGATGGAGATGTCAGCCTTATTAGAGTTATCCAGCTCGACTGTCGTTGCCGGCTTTAATTGTCCATCGCTGTTTGAGGTTGGGTTGGACATAAATTTGGCTTTTAATTCGCTTCCAGGGGGACAATCAACGGTGGTCTGGGCTCTTGATTCAGAACTGTCCTGACTAGCCAATTCCGACAAAATGGGAGTTTCTACCTCACTACTAGGAGGGCATTCAACGCTTGAGTGAAACCCTGACTGGCCGGATGAGATGGCTTCCTGGTGGCTAGTGTTGCCAGTGTGAGGATTTGGACTGGCCAGCCCAGAAGAGAATTTTGCGTCTAGTTCATTTCCTGGTGGACAGTCGATGGGAACACTCACTGGACCGCTTCGGCGTTGATTCTCCAACCCGGATGGAAGTGTGTCGACCAATTGACTTGCAGGCTCGGAGATAAACTTGGCCTCTAGCTCACTGCCCGGAGGACACTCCACATTGGTGCCAGAGGCCAAGCCAGAATCCGAGTTGAGACGCTTTTTGGGCTCAATGTCTTTGAATGTTTCCAGTGGAGCATGCTCTGACTCAATTGATCCGGAAACAAACAACGACTCCATTTCATTATTAGGGGAGCGATCGATGCTAACATCGGGTTTTTTGGTAGTCTCACGAGGTACCTGTGTCCTGATATTTGCATCCGGGGAAGCGACAGTGTTGGATTGGTAGAGTGCGTCCAGCTCGCTGCCTGGTGGACATTCAACAGTCGAGTGCGAGCCCAGCGGAGCTTCGGTCTGCAGCTTGGAGATTCCAGGCTGGGACTGTCCATCCTGAAGTAAGTTCGGGTTAGAGACAAACTTTGGATCGACTTCACTGCCAGGAGAGCAGTCTACGATTTGATGAGAGCCGGCTTTTGTCTCCTCGTTCTTCGGTTCCGATGCAATAGGAGGCATAGGCGCCATCCTCCCACTAATGGGGTCGTACTGAAGTCCAACATGATTTGAGTTGCTTCCTTTTTGCTTCTGTGTTAGCTCCGCAGATCTAGCACGAGTAGGCTTTTTGGGGTTCATAAAAGACTGGAGAAAGCCATTGAATGAGGTGTCGGATTTTTCAAGCTTGTGAAAAGGTTCCAATCTGCGCCCAAACAAAGCGCTGTAGGGGTCGGCCTCGATCTGCTTTCTCAACAGCTCCATATGGTTGTATAGTTGTTCTTGTTCTGAGTCCCGAACGCTCTTTTTTCGGCCAGAGGAGAGGCCAGAGAAGCCTGGAAAAGAGCGCCACACTCCCCAGCCCCAAGTTGAATGCTTGGGATTAGGAGTGGGAGATCCGTCATGACGGGCTTCTAACTTTTGTTGACTGAATAGAGGATGCCGATGGTATTGGTCAATACGTCGTGAAATGCGGTCCGTCTTTTCACTCTGACCGTTACGTGCACATCGCCACACGCTCCGACTTCGGGAAATATGTGTAGCTACCAATTGTGAGAACGCAGGGCGCATGATCCGGGGGGCTGGCGCTCTGGTTGATATTGCGGCCGAGGAACTCATGATGGATCACAGATGTTGGAAAGCAATAAGAACGGATAATCTGTAGATACCCCCAATAACACATGGGGGCTGCTTGATGAGGGTCCGGTCGATCGTCTCCACTATGGGGTACAGCGATCTCGATTGCTTGTGTCTCTGTCTGTAAGGACCATTAAAAACGAAGCGAGTTGAAACGGAAATAATATGGAGGGGAATGTCAAGAGGAGAAGCAATAATGAATGAAGCGCTTTGGACCGGGGATCCCCAGGTTTACTAATTGACGTCAGAGCTGCCAGTCAGCATTCGCGCGTCACCACCTCACCACCCTTCTCTACTGTACAATATAATTTAGGTTTTGGTAGACATCCTTATATATACATATGTCTACCTAGTGTCGGTCTGACGGGCCTCTGTTTGTCGTTATGGGCACAAAGTCTCCCCTATGGATTCGTTTCATCGTCAATATAATATGTACAGAAACAGCCCCCTTACAACAGCATGGTAAATCCGGGTATGGAACTTGATATATACATTCATTGGTATCATTCCGCTTCAAATGCCAAGCCGAGAGAGATTATCAGAGATCGGGTCAGAGAGGTAGTTGCGCCAGAAGCGTAGACCCTCGATTCCCTCCTCCCGACAGAGAATCCCACGGTCTTCAGCCATCTCCAGCTCTTCGGCAGCCACTCCGACACTCCACTTGAAACGATGTGCGGCTTCTTGTGCAGTTACGGCACGACCAAATAGCGACCAATCCCAAGGAACGACATCTTCGGGAGGAATGCGTCGTAGCTCCTCCATCCAGTCCTGAATTTTCTCGATTGTCTTCTCGTCGCTCCAGTCATACCGTTGCACTACAAGAAGGCCACTCTTGAAGCGCCGCAGACGAACAGGCAGTTTTAGCTTCTCCCATAGCTCTGCAGCCTTCTGGAAATCCGAAGGACTGGCCAACTCGACTCCATTACGGGAGCGATTGAAGACCGCCCAGAGATCGATGAGACTCATGATTCCACCTTCGCGCTGCAAAATGCCTTTTCGGTCATCTGTTAGATATTCAGCTAGATCACGGGCGAGTTCTGATAGATAGAGACTTTCTGATCCAGAGCTGAGCATGTCTTTTGTGGTCACCATTCCTAGAGCAGCAGCCGATTCGGATAGTACCGCACTGGTTTCTGCGGAGCCCTCGCTGGAGGTCATGCCTGACTCTTGTGCCAGAGTTTCGGCAAGGGCCACAATCTGCTTGGCAGAGGCCATCAAGGCCCCAAGATCCTCGAAGGCATTACCGATTACCAGCTCGTTCTTTTTCCGAGCCTCCAGTCCACGACGTTCCAGTCCTGCAATACCGACCCCCGAAGACCGTGGTGTGGAAGGAACAGGGCTTTCCACAGCAGCAGCAGCAGATGGCAAGCCCGGTGAGAAAGTGGCCTGGGAAGGTGGAGGCACAGGAGGCGCATTTTGAAGAAGCCACTTCCTCTGAACCAAGGCCCCCTTTAGCCTTTCGTGGAATGTTTTCTCGCCCCCTGCGCGGAAAGAAAGTTTGATGCTCTCGCTAACCTCCGTATTTGCGATATGCGATTGCTCGAAGAATGGTGCAGGTGAATCCACCCGGTTAGCATTAGCGGAAGACCCCGCAGACAGTAAAGGGGCTCCGCACATCTCGCATTCGGTGAGAGATGGGTGGTTCACAAAAGTACATCGTGGACAGGACACGGATCCTCCGGGCCCAGGCGACGCCACAGAGCTTGGTTGGGGTATACTATGTGAAATGGCTGGCGACGCAATTAAAGGCAAGGGAGAGTCCCGACTAGTCGCAGCACTGATTGCTGCTTTTAGCACGGTTGTAAATGGTGGTTTGATTCCACATGCTAGACATGGGGGCAAATGTGTAGCAGCGCTCGCGGTTGCCGGGTCAAAGTTGGACGGAACTGGATTGGAGAATGAGCAAATCGGACAAATCCAAGTGGCATTGATCGATTTCGGAGACAAAGGGCCCTGTGGAATGTTTGATTGTGGAAGAGTCGACAGTGATTGTGTCGAATGAAGGGCTGATTGTTGGAATACAGCGGGGCTGGCAGTTGCACTCCTCGACTTATCAGCCTTGTTCTTCTGCGGTCTGGGGTGTATGGTAATCTTTGGAGAAGACTTCAAGAAGCTAGCCTAGACATCAGGAATATGTCAGCCATTGAAGAGTCGAAAATTGAGTACAGCTTATCCCGTACCTGATACTCCACTCGATCGATTTCCTTTAGGTCGATAGCCACCGAATACTTCCGCGGATCCTCGGTAGCAACATAGCACACTCTGTGAGATGTGAGATAGGCATGTCCGTTCTGGTAGTTCTGAATCTTGTATTTTCTTCTCCAATTAGCACCCCGCATCAACATCACGATGAGCTACGTACCCTTCATAGAGCCCCACTGCATCCTGGACAAAGAGTAGGGTCTCATCAGGTAATAGCAAAGGCCTGAGCGCAGTGGTCAGGTCCAGCGCCTTGAAGAACATCTAGGACCAGTTTGAGGAGATCCCCATGGAGAGAATGGAGAGAAGTAGTTATGGCTGGAGATCCGATAAGGCGATAAGGGGAATGCGGAGAAACAAATATCCGAGAAGTAAGCGAGTACCCTCACCGTCGAGTGCACTTCATCAACTCGAGACTTCATCTCAATAATATCGTTCTTTCATCTCAGATTCCCGTACCATCGACGGTGTAGGAAAATATCCATCCGTCCTCGAGTCCAACCCCCTCGTAGCTCATTTCTCATTTCTTTTGCCTATCATCTCGTTCACTCCCTTGCTTTTCCTACCTTTTGCATCTTTCTTTCTTCAAGTCCCGGAATGAACTCCAGTGCCCCACCTTGGCGTTCTACAGCCTCTGCTCCGATGCCTAGACCTTCCGCATTTCCTACTGCTGGTAAGCCCAAACAACCCGATCCGAGACGAGTCCTTTCGACAAGACGCTCACATTTTCTTAGCGACACCTGCCTATACTCCAGTTCAAGCACGTCGTAGTCTTGCCCATAATAAAGCCAATACCACAGCCAACGGATATCCTCCCTCCCAGCCCAATATGTCGGCACCGGATGCAGACTCTCGCAAGCGAGTGGAATTTCCGCCACCCGTTCGCTCCTATGTGCAACGGTGTTTCGCCCCCGAGAATCAAATTGCCAGTGTGACCATTCCTGAAATGCAGGAGAAATTGAAGATTGTGATCACCGAGGCAGCCGAGAACGGGAAGCTCGAAAAGATCGATTGGGAGCGGCTCCCCTTACCACAGGTCATGGTACAGAATGAACGCAATAAGATTCTGGCAAACCCTGCTTCCTCGAACTGGGCGTCTCTACCATCTTCTCCCGGAGATGCCGCACGCAAGAGGAAGTCGACAGACCCACACCAGCTACAGAATGGATCTCCGCCATGGAGAAAAGCTAACAACCGTTTTGAAGACCGCGTTACTCACCCTACTACAGACAAAAAACAGAAAATGACACTGGACCAGTCTAGTAAGTCCAAAGCTAATTTGGAAATGCGGAGGAGGCGTTTTGAGGGACTGAACATCAACGGAAACTCACCTTCCTCCCCCACCGAATCACCGGGAACCAGATCCGACGCCGACCAAGGACCCGTTGTCGGACGATGCCAAACCCTGGAGAAGAACTACTTCAGATTGACTTCTGCTCCCAACCCAGACACTGTTCGTCCCCTATCAGTGCTGAAGAGTGCCCTGGATCTCTTGAAGAAAAAATGGAAGCACGATGGCAACTACGGTTACATCTGCGATCAGTTCAAGTCCCTACGCCAGGATCTAACGGTCCAACACATTCGCAATGAGTTCACCGTCTCTGTCTACGAAATCCATGCGCGCATCGCCTTGGAGAAAGGGGATCTTGGTGAGTACAACCAGTGCCAAACCCAGCTACGAGTGCTGTATGCACAGCAGCTGGGAGGACACCCGACAGAGTTCAAGGCGTATCGTATCCTCTATTTCATTTACACCCGGAACTGGACGGCCATGAACGATGCACTAGCCGATGTCACAGCAGAAGATAAGAAAGACCTGGCTGTCAAGCATGCTCTAGATGTCCGTTCTGCCCTTGCGCTCGGGAACTATCATCGCTTCTTCCAGCTTTATCTTGACACGCCGAATATGGGAGCCTACCTCATGGACATGTTTGTCGACCGTGAGCGGCTGAGTGCTCTATGTGCCATTTGTAGAGCGTAAGTGGTTCTACCTCGCTATTTTGTCTGAACGTTCTAACTCTTCGCAGGTACAAACCCGATGTGAACATTCGGTTTATCACCGAAGAACTTGGATTTGAATCCGATGAGCAGACCGCCCATTTCGTTCTCAACAATGCCTCTGCGGAGCTATTGGAAGAGAAGAACGGCGAAGTGCGGCTGTTGACAGGCAAAGCAGGCTTGCTGTTCGAAACGGCCAAGGCAGATGCGTATCGCGTCGTCGATATCAAGGGTCAGATCTAACCCAGTTCTCATGATGGAATTACGCCCAAGCCCGTAACCCATTGGATGCCGGACTATTTTTTTTTCTTCTCAGCGACAGGAGTTCCTCTCGGATGCACACCTCTTCATTTGGCCTTTTCCTGGGGCCTTGCATTTTCATTTGCCTTCCAATCTTTGCCTACCCCGGATCTCAACTAGTCTTACCACTAGACTATGATACTAATACCCACTGGCGTCTGTTGGAGTTTTCCATTTCTTTGTTTGCGACAGTCAACACTTGAGAGACATGTGCATTGACCAGAGTAAATACGAGTCCCATCTCTCCAGTACATTTTGCAAATGCATTCCTATACTACCTGTTCCATTTGTTCCATTGGCCTTCTATGAAGCTTCTATGGAACTTTGCCACGTGGGGCCCAAGGCCATGTCAGAGTTGGGTCGTACCAAACCATGTAAGGTGCGACAATCATTGTATACTGTTGGCCAACTTCGAGCCCGTATGTGGGGAATATTCAGGCAATTTATATTGCAACCATGGTCTTCGGGTGTGATCCTCATGTAGGTCATGATCGACACTTTTTGTCCTTCAAGGCGTGTACAGTACACATGGTAATTAGAATACTGGTAGGCCATACCCGGAACTAATTTAGATTGTAATTTCACTCTCGATCCCTACATTCTACACATTCTAGGCGCCCTTTGTCTGTTCACAAAGCGATCTAAACGGGCTTTTGAGGGAGGGAAGGGGGGAGACGTCAGATCCGCGGTACAGACACAGCTGGACCACGGGGCTGAAGTGGAGAGGCAAGGGCATTTTTCCTTTTTCTTCTACTCCGGACTTAAACTTGAAGGTGTAACGTACAACTGATTCTGTGTAAGGGTTGTATTCCCGTGGTGTGATTGATTACCGTTAGCCGCCCATTGTCTGCCCAACCGTAATCCCGCAGACACTCTACAGGCCAAATATAGGCTGTCGTCATATCTCTCAAAGACTACCTAGTACCTCTACCCCTGGGGATTAAAGAAAAAGCGGGCCCCTGGTTAGAACCGCAATACACAGAGAGAGGCAGTTTCCTATTCTTCCTTTCGCATCCCCGTCCCCCAGCATGAAGGTGAGAGAAGTCTCCGAGATATTAACTGGTGTTATATTAATCCGGTTTCGAAATAGGCCATTAGGCGATCCTTGAAAGGGGAGAAAGATCCCAAACACCACCACATCTCTATCACCCCCAAATCTGCTATTGCGATTCTGCCTCCTAAGAAAGTGAGTCGAGTTCGAGTCAAACTCTCTGTGGCGGTGGCTGACCGCATGTCTAGGTGATCAAAGCTCTCTACGACTACCAACCGGAGGGAACATCTCAGGAATTGGCGTTCAGCAAGGGAGATTTCTTTCACGTTATCAGCAGGGAGGACGATTCAGATTGGTACGAAGCGTGTAACCCGCTGATCCCCAGTGCTAGGGGGCTCGTGCCCGTCTCCTTTTTTGAGGTTATCGGCAAAAACGAGAGGGATAGTGGGGGTTCCGCCGACTTGCCCCAGGACCACGACTCAGGTTTCTCCAACCGCACCGATTCCGCCACCACCAAAAACGGCGCGTTCAGAATGTCTGCACTCAAAGGTCAGGGCGCTATGGTCTATGGCATTGTTCAGTATGACTTTCAGGCTGAGCGACCCGATGAATTGGATGCGAAGGCCGGCGAGGCCATTATTGTCATCGCCCAGTCCAACCCGGAATGGTTCGTCGCCAAACCCATTGGTCGCCTTGGTGGCCCCGGGCTCATCCCCGTCTCTTTCATCGAGTTGCGCGACATGCAGAGCGGTCAGGCTGTGACCGATCCACTGGACGCGGTGCGACGCGCCGGGGTCCCCAAGGTCGAGGAATGGAAGAAAATGACGGCGGAGTATAAAAACAGCAGTATCACTCTAGGCAAGATTGAGTCGGGCCACGGTGGTGGCAGCATGATGGGTGTCACCTCGGGCATGGACAAAATGTCCATGGGCCACCAGAGCCATCTGAGTCAAAACGGCAACAACTATGTATGTCGCAGCGTCAATCAGTCGCGTTTTCTCCTCTCTTTCCTTTGCTAATACCTGAATAGGAATACCACCAGCGCAACGCCAGCAAAGGGACTATCTCGCAGGCGCCGATGCCGCAACAACAAGGCTACCCCCTTCTAGTCCCCGTCTCCGCCTATATTCCCCGTTACTGTTTCGACAACGACAAATACTGGTATATCATCGAGGCAAAGATGGAGGATGGACGCTGCTGGGAGCTGTCGCGTTACTACCACGACTTCTACGACTTCCAGATTGCTCTATTGACTCAATTTGAAGATGAAGCCGGTAACCGTGGTCGTGCACGAACTCTGCCCTTCATGCCTGGCCCTGTCACTCATGTGACCGATGCCATCTCCAATGGCCGCCGACAGAACCTCGACGAATATATCAAGAAACTCTTGTCTATGCCCCCGCACATCTCCCGCTGCCCACTTGTCCGAGAACTCTTTGCACCCCGTGAAGGGGACTTTGAGATTGATCCTAGTGCTTTCGGAGAGGATGCCCGGTACTCCGGTGGATCCCAGCAATCTGCTGGCGTGGATCCCTCGCAAAGTGTGTCGCGCCAGTCTTCGCAGCAGCAAATCAATACACCCACGGATCGCGCATCTCAGCAGCGCGCGCAAGCCCCTACAGCCTACGCTAATGGTGGCCAACCACCCATGAACCGACAACCAAGCTCCCTCACTCAAGCCTCTGGCGCATCAAGCAACAGCGCCATGAAGGTCAAGGTGTTCTTCCAGGATGACTTGATTGCCATTCGAATTCCAGCTGGTGTGAGCATGCAACATCTCAAGGACAAGCTGTCTGATCGGTTGAAGATCCAGGAAGATATCATCGTGCAGTACCGCGATGAATCTACCGGCTCATACGTTGACCTTCACACGGATCAAGATCTGGAAAGCGCCATGCAGCGGAATACCAAGCTGACTCTCTTCGTCAGCACCGCATAAAAAGCGATTCGGTTCTTTCCGGTGTTGCGGTCAACGATAGACTTATTGGTTCCACCGGGGTGTTTTCGCCTGTAAATGTTTGAAATGACTAGGGTGCATCGGCGTTTTTGATATGTGTGGTTTGTTTACTTGTTTTATCTCTGACTGGTTAGTATTCCTTGAGCGATTTTACTTGGTCCACGAGGACGTGATCGCAATGTTACGAATCTGATGCGAGATGTACGGCATGGTTTCCTTTTTATCTTTCCGATCTCTCTTGGTTTTCATTGTCTGTTAACTATGTTCACTACGCGCCTTGTGGGTTCTGCTCTCTGTTCAATCTTCTTCTGTTCTTTTTATCTGTGCTTTGGTTTCGCATTTGATCTATATCCTCTGTTGTTTACGGATCGTGCCCCGGTCTGTCTGCTTCTGCGTGTACATATGTCTTTCTGCTCATGCATATACTGGGGTGCTATATTTAGCCTTACACTAGCACTGCAGTGATACTCCGCAGCTTCTACTATACCAATATAACTGATGATATCAATTGTCGAGGATCCCAAGGCTAAGCAATCACGTGACTCGGCCCGAGTTTCGGCCGTTTCTTTGTCGACATACACGGAGAACACTGCGGGTTGTCTGCTAGAGTTTCAGATTCTCATTTCAGTAGTCGCAGGGTTATCTGTACAGCTGTGATCGAGTACCCTTGTGCTTCGATCCTGTCGCCTCGTGTGTACGAACCGCCGCTACCCGGAAGAAAACAATCCCATCCTACAATACCTCGGTTAACGCCTTCGCAGCGCAACTCTTCGCGATAAGCCCGACCCTAACCTCGTCCCAAAAACTCCTGCGGTCCAAAAACAGCGCCAATGAGCCGACCATCAGCAAAGCTTTGCGCAGAATGCATCCCAGGCGCGCTCTGGACTCCACGGGGTGTGCGCCCTGCAAGGCTGCGGGGTGCGGCTCGTGAGGTATCCTATGCCACCGAGCGCATGATACTTGATACCCGGAGGTCGAGTCGCACTTCGCCAGGTTGTGCATCCTCTGCTCGGATCCCGCGCCCTCAGTTGGCTAGTCGTTCGCAGAAGACGTGCGGTTTGGCTACGGTCACGGATGGAGCTGCGGGCGGCGAAAAGAAGTCTTCGGCTGCGCCAAAGGATGGGCCATTGGGGGAATATAATATACGGGTAGAGGAGGGTCGGTTGCGGGATGATGAGTACCAGAGAGGTAAGTGCACTACACTCTGGAGGCGTGGACCTGAGCCAGGCAAGGTAGCCGGAACACGAAACTGACATGGACCTATTCATGAATAGGCATCATGCAAGGTCTCCAAGGCTTGTTCGAAGCACTGAAAGACTATCACCCACCCAAGGTTGTCCACCCTGATCCCCAGTCCTTGGACCTTCAACAAAAACCTTCGTTCTTTGGATCGCTATTTGGCGGTTCCAAAAAGGCCGCAAAATCTACTATCCCTGAGAACCTTCCGAAGGGACTGTACATGTATGGCGATGTTGGGTGCGGCAAGACTATGTTGATGGATCTATTCTTCGACACGCTTCCGCCCAATATCAAGGACAAGACCCGTATCCATTTCCACAACTTCATGCAGGATGTACATAAGCGCATGCATGTGGTGAAGATGCAGTTTGGAAATGACTTTGATGCTCTGCCCATGGTTGCGGCCGATATTGCACAGACCGCGAGCGTGCTTTGCTTCGACGAGTTCCAGTGTACAGATGTTGCTGATGCCATGATCCTGAGAAGGTATGTTCGATCAAATCCGAATCATGGATTTTACTGACGGATTACAGGCTGCTAGAGATTCTCATGTCCCATGGCACAGTCCTTGTCACCACCTCCAACCGACACCCTGACGATTTGTACAAAAACGGCATCCAGCGAGAGTCCTTTATTCCCTGTATAAACCTCCTCAAGACCCGCTTGAATGTTATCAATCTCAATTCTCCAACGGACTACCGGAAGATCCCCCGGCCCCCAGCTGCCGTTTACCATTACCCCCTAGGCGAGGACGCGGAGCGCCATGCCCAGAAATGGTTCGAGTTCTTAGGCGATCCCATCAACGACCCCCCTCACGCAGACTCTCAAATTGTATGGGGACGCGAAATCAAGGTGCCCCAGGCCAGTGGCAAGGCTGCCTTGTTCACGTTCCAGCAACTCATCGGCACAGCCACTGGTGCAGCTGACTACCTCGAGCTGGTCCGTCATTACGATGCGTTCATTGTCACGGATGTGCCATCAATGGACCACAAACAACGCGACCTGGCAAGACGCTTCATCACCTTTATCGATGCGGTTTATGAAAGCAGGGTATGTACCTTCTTACAGTTGCAGTCTCCCCCTATGCCAATTACTTACAAAACTACAGGCCAAGCTAGTCCTCACCTCGGAAACAGCCCTTACAAATCTCTTCATGTCAGATTCCGAGGTCAAGAACAACCTCAAGGGTGACGGCAACCACTCCGATCTCTCAGACGCGATGCGTAGCCTGATGGACGATCTGGGCATGTCAGTGGAGACGCTTAAGAAGACATCCATCTTTAGTGGAGATGAGGAGCGATTCGCGTTTGCTCGTGCGCTCTCTCGTCTTTCAGAGATGGGTAGTAAGGAATGGGTGGAACGTGGGATGGGACTTGGTATGAGCCCAGAACAGAACAAAGAGGAGCGCGAGGCATGGCTGAAGACTCGCAGCCATTGGAGTGAAGATAACATGTAAACTTCCTGTTTAACTGCGATGAAGATACCTGTGCATATAGATTTGTGTATATAGCTGGGCATAGTTGAACATTGTGATATTAGATGACGTCATTTCCGAGACTCCCAAGATCAACAGCGACAGTTCTCCACGTCATCCGCTCTGCAACCGGTATCAGCTACTCATGAGAGCCCTGCCGAACTCTCTGCAATGATCGACTCAGAACCAAGGGAAGAATGAAGCTATCCGGATGCTTCCTCCGCAGTGGATTTGCAGGAAAGCGGCCCACGAATCAAAGACTCGAGATTCGCAACATTTCCTGTCTTACGCTCCATTGACAGGTTTTTGGCTCGACATTGCGGGAAAAGACTACCTCGGCCATTCAGGATTCAGTCACTCTATGGTCATTGGGAGTTGCGGCGGTGACTTCACTCCACTAGCTCTTGATCGAGAACAATCGGCCTGAGTAATTGCGACATGATTTGATTTCTTGCATTAGTGATTGGCTGAATTACATCATTGACGTAGCAATTAGATTTCCTTGGTTCCCGGCTTAATGCTTGCTTCTTTTATAAGGGATGCCAATGGTAGAGGTATCTCTTCCGTTTCACCTATTCACATACCTCGACCCTTCACCACCTTTAGGTATTAATATCAACCATGGCAGCTAATACAAACTCCAAAACTGCCGACGGCAAGTTTGCCGATCTGCAGAAAGACACTGTCGAGCTTAACAGCAAGCAACATATGAGTACCGACTATGGCATCAAGATCACAGACCCAGACCATTGGCTCCGCGTAGTCGATGAAAAGAAGACCGGTCCCTCGCTTCTGGAGGACCAGATCGCCCGTGAAAAGGTAGATCCATTGCTGGATAATCCAAGTCCATACGAACAGCAGCTAACCTTCACTAGATCATGCGTTTCGACCACGAACGCATCCCAGAGCGAGTTGTGCACGCCCGCGGGACGGGCGCATTCGGCACATTCAAACTATACGAAAGCGCAGAAGATGTTACGACTGCCGGTGTCCTGACGGACACTAGCCGGACAACACCGCTATTCTTGCGTTTTTCAACAGTGCAAGGCAGCAAGGGCAGCGCAGACACTGTCCGTGACGTGCGCGGGTTCGCTATCAAAATGTATACTTCCGAAGGCAACTGGGATATTGTCGGCAACAATATCCCCGTGTTCTTTATCCAGGATGCGATCAAGTTCCCTGATGTGATTCACTCTGTGAAGCCCGAGCCGCATAATGAGGTGCCGCAGGGTCAGAGTGCTCATAATAATTTCTGGGATTTCCAGTATATGCATTCGGAGGTGACGCACATGAATCAATGGGTGCGTATATCTTATTGAGTTTGACTGGATGGTGACTGACGTGGTTTCAGATTATGTCTGATCGAGCTATTCCTCGCTCGTATCGGATGATGCAGGGCTTTGGTGTGAACACCTACTCTCTGGTTAACAAGGAAGGCAAGCGCCATCTTGTCAAGTTCCATTTCACCCCCGAGCTGGGTGTGCACTCACTTGTCTGGGATGAGGCCTTGAAGATCGCTGGTCAAGATCCAGACTTCCACCGCAAGGATCTGATGGACGCCATTGAGGCGGGCCAGTTCCCTCGCTGGAAGTTTGGTCTTCAGCTAATCCCCGAGGAAAAGGCCGACGACTTTGAATTCGATCCGCTCGATGCTACCAAAGTGTGGCCCGAGGAATTGGTTCCGATCCGGTACATTGGAGAGCTGGAATTGAACCGCAATGTCGATGAGTTCTTCCCCCAGACAGAGCAGGCTGCATTCTGTACCAGTCACATCGTCCCTGGTATTGAATTCTCCGATGACCCACTTCTTCAAGGTCGAAACTTCTCGTACTTTGATACGCAGATTTCACGCCTGGGCCCTAACTGGCAGGAACTGCCAATCAATCGTCCAGTCTGTCCGTACATGAGTCTGGTTAACCGTGACGGTGCTATGAGACACCGCATCACCAAGGGCAAAGTCAACTACTGGCCTAACCGCTTTGAAGCCAACCCACCCGCTACTCCCGCTCAAGGTGGCTTTACCAGCTATCCAGAGAAGCAGCAGGGTGCCAAAAAGCGCGACCTGTCAGACAAGTTCGCGGAACACTACAACCAAGCTCAAGTATTCTACAACTCGCTGTCGAAAATTGAAAAGATGCACGTGGCCAAGGCTTTCTCGTTTGAGCTGGACCACTGCGACGATCCAGTTGTTTACAAGCGCATGACTGAGCGCCTTGCAGCAATCAGCTTGGAGCTCGCTCAGACTGTCGCCACCAACGTTGGCGCTGATACCCCGGCCAAGGCCCTGAAAGAAAACAAGGGTCTCAAGGCCAAGGGCTTAAGCCAGCTGGAATACATGCCGGAGAAGCCCACCATCGCGACGCGTCGTATTGCTATTCTCATCGCCGACGGCTTCGACTTCAACCAGTACACAACCATGAAAGAAACCCTTCAAGCTCAGGGCGCATTCGTCTTTACCATTGGTGCTCAGCGCCAGGGAGTGACGTCGGAGTCTGGGCAGAAGGTGGTATCCGATCATTTCTTTACAGGAATGCGGTCCACTCTCTTTGACGCGGTGTTTGTTCCTGGTGGAAAGCATGTTCAGGCGCTGTCAAAGAACGGTGTAGCTAAGCACTGGATCTCCGAGTCATTTGCCCATCTTAAGGCCATTGCTGGTGCGAATGACGCTGTGCCATTCATCCAGCACCAGATTAATATTCCAGAAGTCGAGGTTGCTCAGAGTGGCACCTCACTCAAGGAGTCATATGGCGTTGTGACGGGACACGGAGATGCGGCTTCCTTGCTGAAGGTTGGCAAGGTCGGACCTGATGCCAAGGGTCTGGCTGAGCAGTTTATCTGGCATATCTCAAGGCACAGGAACTGGGCGCGTGAGTTGGATGGACTTTCGGATCAAATTGCCGCCTAGTCTATTACTCACTATATTCCCTAACGAAGCATCTGTGACCATGAAATTGTATAATTAAATCGAATTCCATTCAAAGTGTATCGGGTACTTGCATTCAGTTGTAGAACGTTGGGATCTGCATTCCTCTGCAGGAATGAGGGTAGGGCTGGGGAAGTCCAGGATTTCCGTCGCGCCTACAACACACTGCCTTAACCGAACGTCCATTTCCTCCCATTTCCCAGTTAACGTATAGTCCAGTAACAGAAAAAGCAATAATACAAATTCCCATCACTAAATATCTTATACTCACCACGTCAAGTAACGGTCAGGCTCTCCGCATACTTCCCACATACTTCCCTGCGGCCGGAGCTTCAAAAGTTACACGGCCACGGCAACATCGTACCATTGCTTTCTCAATTGAGGCTGGGCAGCATTCGTGCACAAGGCAGTCAATGGTCTGTAAGAACGCCTCTTCCGTAAATAGCTGGGTTCTAGGCTAATTTTCTTTTTCTTGCCTGCATCTGATACCTCACCACATGAGTGGCGCCAACCCGAATCATTTCCCCTTTTCTTTCCAGTTTCGGCTCTTTATTTCTCGCAATTGTTTACACTTAAGATGATGGCTTTGCATCTGTCGCGCTCGACGCGCCTGGCGGTTGTCATTGGCATCTCGACTTGCTTCTTTCTCGCCGAGATCTCGTGTCCGTACTGCTTGCTGTATTTGTTGAGATATGACCATACTGACCTGGATAGTGGGATTTTATACCCATTCAATTGCTCTAATTGCAGACGCTTTTCACTATGTAGGCTGTCTCACGGGTTGGTGCATTCTAGGATGTTTTGGCTGACTCTTTTGCAGCTGAACGATCTGGTTAGCTTCATCATTGCACTTGTTGCCTTGAAGGTGTGTGACAGTTGAACATATAAACGTCTACCTTCCTCTGATACTCGCTCAAACATTCAGAAATCCGAGTGTACCGATTCGCCCAGGGAACTTTCCTTTGGTTGGCAGCGTGCTCAGCTGCTAGGTGCATTTTTCAATGGTGTTCTTCTTTTTGGGCTGGGTATCAGTATATTCTTACAGTCTATCGAGCGTTTCATTGCTCTGCAACGTGAGTCAATCCAGCCTCTTCGTGCAATGCGAGCACTGCTGACCTTACACTCAGATGTTCAAAACCCCAAGATGATGTTCATCGTAGGTTGCGCCGGGTTAGGACTGAACATAATTAGCGCTGTGTTTCTTCATGGTATGTTATATGTCAGGTGTACTACGTAGATTTGACTGACACAGACTCAGATCATGGGCATGGTCATGGTCATGGTCCAGCACCCACGATTGAGGCTCTCCTTCCTCACGTCAGTGAGCAGTGCCAGGATTCTAGCTCTAAGGTATGCATTTCCTACTTGAAGTCACAGCCAAGCTAACCTAATACTTGTTAGCATCATGGCCATAAGCATCTGAATTTCGAGAAACTTTGTCATTCTAGCTCAGGTGGTCACGATCATAGCCATGGCCACGGCCATGATCACGGTGATCTTGGAATGATGGGGGTCTTTGTCCACGTCATTGGCGACGCAATAAACAACCTGGGTGTGATGGCTGCTGGTCTAATCATCTGGCTCGCAGCACCCCATCCCGGCCGCTACTATGCCGATCCAGGTGTGAGCATGTTCATTGCAGTTCTCATCCTTTTATCCTCAATGCCAATCAGTAAGTTTTGCGCTCTAGAAACGAAATTCTAAGCTAACACTATCAAGTGTACCGAGCTGGTTTGATTTTGCTAGAGTGTGTGCCTACCGGTGTTGACATGGGAGATGTGGCCCACGATCTAGAAAGGGTAAACATACACCTCTGGCTTGTCGCCAATCTACACTCACACTGACAATTCTCAGATTCCCGGCGTCAATGCAATCCATGAACTCCACATTTGGCGTCTGAATCAGCAAAAGACCCTCGCCTCTGTGCACATTGTTGTTTCTGAGAACTCCGTCGAGGACTTCATGCGCATCGCTCGCGTCATTAATGAATGTTTCCACGCTTATGGAATTCATTCAGTCACCCTTCAACCCGAACTCTCAGATGAGACTGATAAGGATATTCCCCGAGATGCCGACAAACCTAGTCCTCGATGCCAGGTTATTTGTGGGACATTGTGTGAGGAACTGACTTGCTGCGGTTAGTTGCTCTAAAAGTATAAAGCTGGTCGGGTGACCACAGCATAGTTACTTTTCGAGCACATGTGTTAGATCCTTAGAATTAGTATCTTGTACAATATAATCATGTATTTCGACTTTAATCCGTTCAGGTAACTAGAATTTATTATTTGCTCGCCGTTGGGTACATAGTTGAGCAGGCCTTGCACGGCTTGCATACTATAGGACATTAGCAGGTCCAAAGTGGGTATCAAAAAGGGCAATCTGCGTACCCTTTGCGGTTTTGGTTCTGGTCACAGTGCGGCCAGGGACTCCAGTTAAGATCCTTGCGTCGAGGCAGGGAAATGTTCATCCCATAAAATGAGGAGATCAACTCGTTAGTTTCCCACAGTTTTTCGAAGATTTCCATGACCTTAGGCTCGGTGCGCGCTTCCCAGGCCATCTTCTCGTGTGGGGAGCCATAGGCAAAATACATGCTATCGGTTCATTTAGTCGGGTCATGATATACTGTTGGGAAAACTCACCCTCCCTTGAAACTGACAGGCAAATGCTCCGCTGTCCAAGTACTTTCATCATTCTCATCAAAGCCAAGTTCGAACTTCTTCAACCACTGAAGCTGTTTCTCACGATAGTACTCGGCGCGCTCGGGGCTGATGACGTTCTTGATCACGACGCATCCATTCTGATGAAACTCGTCACGCCAGTCATCGTAGTGTCGCGGAGTGAATGTAACTAAGTCGTTGTTTAGGCTTTGCTGGTAATCAGCTGTAGCCTCGATCTTGGTTGCTGACATGTTGGATTCAGTTTTGACTTTGGATTGATGGCTTTCGATTTGATTTGGAACTCTGAGCTTGAGTTTCTGGAGAAATAAATAACACTTACGTTGATGCTGTTAGCATAGCCAATTTGCACTCTGTTGCTGATATCCCCCACCCCCACTCGGCAGGGCCGGAGCAGGTCCGATATTCAACACTCAAGCTCTTCTCTTCTACCAGAGCTCTCTAAACTTCCTTGGACTTTGATCTGCAGCTCAGGAAGCGGGAAGATTCGGTGGGGGAAATGTGTAGATCGGAGAAGATGCGGGCGGACGATGAAGGTATAACTACATAACCATTTTGTTTGTCTCTCCCATTCATATCTCCATATCATCCATCTCATTCATTCTCCTGAACTACATCTATCCCATCATGCCTCCTCCCGTCCTATCAGCTTACAAGCGAGTTGCCCAGCCCAAAGTCGGCGAGAACGGATATCAAGAGTGCCAATGCGGCAAATCCGAAGTCCTACCCGCCGGCTGGAATGGCTTCAACGCAAAGCCCTTGAAGTCCGATATCCATATCGACCACGATGTTGAAATTGTCATGCGGGATGGAGTACGCCTCTACGCAGATGTCTATCGACCAGCTAATTCGACCGAAAAGATCCCTGCTGTGCTAAGCTGGTCGTTCTACGGGAAGAAGTACAGCGCCCTTGATATGCTACCAATGTGCGTTTGGAAATGCTGTGTCCCACCATCCGACCTGAGTGGCTTAGAGAAGTTCGAAGGTCTCGACCCCGAGGCCTGGTGTCCTCGCGGGTACGCAATTGTCAGCGTCGATACCCGCGGCGCAGGCCACAGCGACGGCCAGATTTGCGTGATGGGTACACAGGATGCTGAGGATGGATACGATGTTGTGGAAGCTCTTGCACAGATGGATTGGTGCAATGGGAGTGTGGGTATGGCCGCCAATTCTGCACTTGCAATCTCACAGTGGTTCATTGCGGCCCAGCAGCCTCCATCTTTGAAAGCCGTTGCGCCCTGGGAGGGGTCTGGTGATCTCTTCCGAGAGCAGTTTTGTCGTGGGGGTTGCTTCTCCACGCAACTTTGATTTGATTGCCAAGGCCATTGTGCGAGGGCCGGAGACTTCAGGCCTTGAGGATTTCGAAGAAATGTACCGTCGCTCGCCTGTGTCAAACCGATTCTGGGAAGACAAGCGAGTGGATATGTCGCAAGTGAAATGCCCTGCCTTTATCCGAGGATTGGATGTCAGCTCCATTCACACTATAGGTTCTATTCGAGGATATTTAGAGGTTCCTCATTCGAACAAATGGATCCAATGGGGTAGCAAGCAGGAGTGGTATGAGTTGTACAGCATACCAGAATCTATGAATGAGCTAGGACTCTTCTTTGACCGGTATCTGAAAGGAAAGGATAACGCATGGGAAAAAACACCCAAGGTTCGATGGTCGCCACTGCAGTTTGGAGATCGTGAGGCAATCGACGACATTGTTCTTGAGGATTTCCCGGCTCCCACCACTGAATACCGACGACTTTTCCTTTGAGACAAGAAGCTCACAGCAAGTGCTCCTTCAACCTATTCAAAAAATCTCTTACGACTCCGAAAACCGTCATAGTGTCGGTGAATTCAACTACACATTTGAAAAAGCGAGCCGATTGATCGGACTGCCTAAAGCTGTGCTGTACATGTCCTGTGAGGACCGCGATGATTTCACTGTCTTTGTGATTTTGCGCAAGAAGGACAAGAACGGCAAAGACTTGATGCATCTCAACTTCCCATTCCATGCCACGCCGATCAAGTCTATCGACGAGATTCCAGAGGCAGAACAGGCGAGTTTGAATCTTCATCTGGGGTCTATGGGTATACTGCGGGCCTCGCATCAGGAGATTGATTCTTCCAGGAGTATTCATCCGCAATTCCCTTTCCATCCTCATAAGCGGCAGGATAAGGTGTCTCCGGGTACAATCGTGAAGCTGGAGATTGGCATCTGGGCAATGGGCGTGGACTTTGAGGAAGGCGAGTCAATCAGCGTGAGGGTAAGTAATATACTGCATACAGCTCAACATTTAAAATGTACTAACTCTTTTCAAAGATTGGGGGTCAGTATCCCAGCATTGCCGAGTATAAATCATTCTCGAATCCCAGACCAGAGCACGAGCTCAATCGGGGCAGACATGTCATCCATTGCAGCGAGGAATACCCCAGCTCCGTCATTCTGCCCTTCATCTGAAGAATGTAACTTGCGAAGATATCTCTATTCGGAGTCTAGATCTGTTTGTGGTGAATAGATAGTCTCAGTGCTGCAACGCCAATATATATCCCGGAGGAATCCGCGGAACTATTTGTTTTTGCAGCAGCTACTTCCCTAGTCAAATGTTCGATTTTTAGTACTTGAACCACCATTTTAATTGCATAAATAATACGTAATCTAAATCGACCAAAAAAAAGGACATGTACGTCGAGCAACTGCAAAAAAAGAAACTCTCCCTCGGGGAATCGAACCCCGGTCTCCCGCGCTTATCGGTTTTAATGACAAGCGGAAATCATCACCACTAGACCAAGGAAGATTGAATGACCGAGTTACTGCTCGACCACTTGGCTGGTTGATGTAACGTTTGGGAATTTAGGGCTACATAAATGAACTGAGTGTTAAACATGATGAACATTTTCCATGCCCCCCACTATCATTAAAAACATATACTCGCCTAGCAACCGTTGCAATAAATATACTAACTCATAAGTATAATACCACTCATAATATACTGAAGAGGCTATTGTTCAAATAAGAGCAATGTAGTCTTGAAAAGGTTGTATAACAACAAAACACTTGATGTAACTAGGAACGCTGAAATGCATGTGCTTCTCTATGCAAAAAACCGAAATGTCATCAGCTCGCCTTCGAGTCTCTTATCGTTTACACTAACGATAATGCCGTTATGAGTCTGCCAACAAGTCCACCCCAACACCACTCAAGGCACCGATTGCCCAATCGGGGTACTTGGACTTATCACCTTGGTAGATGTTCGAGAAGAACTTGCGAAGGTACTCTGGGTATTTGTCCTCTATGATGGCCTGTCGGATGTTTCCCATCATGGTTAACATGAAGTGAACATTGTGAATTGTCAGACTGAGAATGTTAGCAACAGCACAGGAAAAGGGGAGAAATCAAAGCATACAGATGAGCACCGACTGTCTCTTTAGCGGTGATATGGTGCATATATGCTCGGGTGAGCCCGAGACCTCCTTGATCAACTGGACGACAGCAGGTGCAAGTGCAACCTTCCTCGACTGGTCTAAAGTCCTGGGCGAAATGTTTGCGACGTAAATTGATGGTACCAGAAGAGACAATCGCATCGCCAAAGCGCTGATTGAAGTCAGTACGAGTATCTCCAATGGAAAATTTGACAAATCCTACCGCTGTGCGTGTCGGCCAGACACAGTCAAACATGTCAGCGCCAAGAGCCACCGCGACGACAATATCTTCGGGGTATCCCTGAATCCCCCTATATTAGCAATTCAAGACAAAGTAACGGTTGTTATGGAGACATACCACACCCATGACGTATCTAGGCTTATTTTCAGGCAGAAGTCCTGTGCATGTATCCACTCTGTGGTAGGGTTAGCTCGTTGAAAGCAATCTGCAGAAGAAGAGACGAACACTTTGCAGAACTCCTCCTTGGCCTCACCACCGGATAGACCTCCGATAGCAATTCCAGGAGTATCTCGCGCGACCATCTCCTCGCAGCACTGTTTTCGCAATTCAAGATCCAGACCACCCTGAATGATACAGAATAGATTTTGCTTCTCGGGGTATTTATGCTCTTCGATGCAACGATCTAACCATCGCACGGAGCGCTCCATAGCTTCCTTGATACGGGCATGATCTGGAGAGGTAGTTGCGATAACATCGTCTAGTTGCATAATGATATCAGAGCCGATAGAGTTTTGGAGAGAGATGGAATGTTCGGGGGTAAGCAACCTATCAAGAGGTCAGTAAGTTTTTGTTCAGCGGGCGCTGCATTCGAGCGAAGATACTTACATGGGTGAGCCGTCGTGAGGACTGAGGAATCGCACTCCTTCTTCTGTAACCGTCGCCAGCTTAAGCAGGGACACCATTTGGAAACTGTAGTGGTGGTCAGTACGAAGGGCATCCACACTTTAGGGCATTATATCTCACCCTCCACTATCAGTCAAGAGATTCCGATCCCAGCCTTGCAACTTGTGCGCTCCACCCACAGAGTCTAGCACTGCCTGACCAGGCTTCAACCCAAGATGGTATGTATTATTTAAACAGAGCATGCATCCTGTATCGCGGAGCTGGTCGTATGTCAGGCCTTTGAGCGATGCCTGTGTCGCGACGGGCATGAAGATCGGCAGAGGGACTGAGCCATGGGGGAGGTGGAGGGTACTGGCACGGGCTTTGGTTGTCTATTGAGGAACCATTAAATGATGAATTAGATCTATGCCAATGTAGTTTTACAGAGTACAGAAGAGAACATACCGAACACTTGGCGTGACGATCAAATGTCAATGCGGAGGGCATGGCTTTCCGGGCGGGTTCGGCGGTAGTTGACATGGTAGCAATGGACACTGACAGAGCCTTGCGTGTAGTTCTAGGATATCTGGCTAGTCGGTGGCATAGCATGAAGCAGACAGTGTGGGGTGAATGTTTGCGACGCGAACATTTTATCTGATAAGGTGTTTGTCTGGTTTGCATTGCCTGAGGCTCTACACTTTCTGACTTGAACTTACACTATGTTTCCCTGTGATGTTAGCTCGGGATTTCTTAACCATTGCATGCTATTAGAGTCCAAAGAGACTTGAAGTCCCTTTGTGGCTTTAGAGCACGATGCCAGTGATGGGACGCAGCCATCGGAAGATTCACACAAAGTGAGAATAAGATTAACTTAGATCGTGGTTTTGACTCCAATACTGAATCTGATATTTACTTCGTTTAGTGTGCTTAATTCTGGCATGACTTTGGTCTGATTTGTGTACGCATTTGACTACGCAGCGACCTCGGACCTCTAAATTCCAGTGTGGAGATCCGGGGAACCCCCGATTTCAAACAAATCTCACCCAATTGAGTCCCTTCAGCGAGGAAACTTAGCCAAGAAATTTAAGCATTTGAAACGTCGTAGCATGATTCAATTCCGAAAGTGTAAGTCTTGAACCGACTACCATTGACAAGAATTCGGAGGAATGCCGAGTCAGTTTAGTGCGGGGATCCGAGGCCTTAACTCGAGCCAAGAAATGAAAGAAGGAAAAAAGCAATAATGCGGGACTCGCAATTCCCCTAATTTCTGTCATTCTGTCACTCTCTTGTGTGCTTGCCAGTCCCTGTCAATATGGCACCAGAAAAGTATGTACAGGATGTTGAATCTGCCTCGGAGGTCTCGTACTCATTTACCCCTTGTTCATGTGTTTATTGCAAGCCAGCTAACACCAATGCAGGTTGTTGTCAACGCTGAAGCTATTGGCACTGCTCTTGAAGCGCGAGAAAAGGCCCTAGTCTGGAAACAAGACCTGCGGATTGTTCCTCTGTGTGCTGCTATCTACTTACTTTGTTATCTTGATCGGTCAAATATCGGTATGCTTAAAATCCCAACAAGCAAAGCAAATTTGAAGCTGAGATTGTCAGGAAATGCCAAGATTCTTAACTCGGATACTGGCAATGACCTACTAACGGAGACGAATATGACCTCGTATCAATTTACGTGAGTGTATCGATGATAGACCGCCCAAGACAGACCGCTAACTTCAAAAGAATCGCATTGATGGTTTTCCTAATTGCATATGCACTGTTTGAAGTACCCTCAAATTACTTCTTGAAGAAGCTCAAGCCAAGCGTACGTTCACACGCTCTAGCATGACCTCCATTGCTATTTGGCATGCATTGAATAACATGAAAAATAGCGATGGATTGCCTTCCTTATGCTCTCATGGGGTGCAACAACCATGGGTCTTGGAGGTGTACACAACTACGCTCAAGTAACCGGATTACGATTCCTACTAGGTGTAATGGAAGCCGGTCTGTTTCCTGGTTTCGTCTACTACCTAACATTTTGGTACCGCAATTCAGAGCGATCTATCCGTGTCGCCCTAATTCTTGCCTCAGCAACTTTGGCCGGAGCCTTTGGTGGAGCTATCGCATTTGGAGTTGGTCATATGAATGGTGCTCATGGTCTTTCTGCTTGGAGGTGGCTATTTATTATTGAGGGAGCACCGTCATGCGCTTCTGCCGTTCTGGTCTGGTTCTTTCTACCGGACTACCCCGAGACTGCAAGGTGGCTTTCTAGTGAAGAAAAGGAGCTTGCAGAGCACCGTTTGGCCAAGGAAGGATCGAAAGGCTCTGCTAGTGCCATGTCATGGGAGGATGCAAAGGGCACGCTGACGGATTGGAGATTATATGCTCATTATGCGGTGTACTTCGGTATATCTACACCATTCTCGAGTCTTTCTCTTTTCACACCAGCTATTACTTCTGGCTTGGGGTACTCCAATCTACGTGCTCAGTTGATGACCGTGCCTCCGTATGCGGTAGCCTACGTTGTGACTGTGATTGTGGCTTGGTCTGCAGACCATTTCAACAGGTATAATTTCTGGGATTAAGATCATATGGTCACTAAACTAACATTCTTGGATTAGCCGTGGTCTCCATTCCGCTGTTTTCTCTTTCATTGGTGCAATGGGTTTTCTCGCATCTGCTGCTTTGCCTGCCAGTTCCTACCAGGTACGAAAAACAAAACACTGGAACGAACACCAATAAATCAGCAATATTGAACTAACCCAAAACCAGAGTCGCTATGGATGCCTCATCGTTGCAGCTAGCGGTTCCTTTGCATGTATTCCACCGTTACTAGGCTGGCTCTCCTCCAACCTCCGCTCAACTGCAGGGGCAGGACTCGCAATTGCACTGAATGTTTCATTCGGCGCCCCAGGCCAAATTGTTGGAGTGTGGATTTATAAGAGCGACGAAGCAAAGAAAGGGTACCCGACCGGCCATTGGACCAACGCAGCGTTGCTCTTGTTCGTGACAGCTGGCTGTATTCTATTGAGGCTTTACTACGGCTGGAGGAATCGCCGCGGAGATGGGGCAAGGGATGGAACCAGATTCGCATACTAGATAGATTGGTGTGGAGACGTGCGGAGAGAAAGTTGATATGTAGAAATGATTTATTCTTGGCTTCCGAACTGCAAAAATGGATCCATGAAGCCAAGGCTTACTCTGATTGATGATGAGATAGATACTGATTAATATATCCATGACATCTGATGAACCTTCAATTTGTAAATAATGATAGAAATTCTCATGTAGGGAGTATGCAAGGCTTGGATTTCTACTGTACACGCCGCCCGAATTTTCCCGGCTCATTTATATAGCTCACACAGGCCCAAATTTGCTCTAAAATAATCAATAATCGCAGCATTGATCAATAACAATCATCTTGTTGGCGTTCTTCAGATCTAGCACCCACCACCGCCTCCACATCCACCCGAAGCCGCTCCCGCTGCTGCGCATGCAGTAATGGCAGAATTGTTCGCACGGCGCTTCTTTTGTTTCTTCAGATATTTCTCGTAGTCTTTGCCGTATTTGTAGCGGCCATAGGTTTCGTTGCTATATCCCACTCGCCGCGGGGGTAGAGAATCATATTGTACGTCCCGTGATGAAACGAAACACATAGCGTGATTGGCTAAATCACAGGCTGTAATTGAGGAAAGATTGTAGTATTTGAGGTGTCAACTGTGAGATACTCTGTTTGAGTCTGGAAATGTAACGTGCGAGGATGTGGAGGTAATCGACACTAGGACCTCTGTCTCAAGTTATATAGTGCTCATTTTACTATCAGAATATTTGGTGTATGCCTAATTCGCGAGTAAGTTACCTCCTTTAAGTTATATCTTGATTTGACTTGTGGTCTCGTATGTCATGAGCGACATAGCCACCGCCCGAACATGGCTGAGTGTCATGGCAGCCTAAATTGGATGGTGGATCGGTATTTTATCTTGGTACGGGCGCTAGCTCCAGCAAGAGTATGGACGATCAGACTTTTGCTGATCATTTGTGTACTTGTCAAGGCAGATTGTTCAAGCAATCAATAATGCCAATTGATCACCATGAAATATTCCACGCTTTGGCACCTCTGACTCAAAGTAAAAAGCCGTTGGATTGCCTCGGTAAGAGTTGGGGGAGTTGGGGGAGTTAGGGTTCGCTAATGATTAGAGTTCGGAGCAATCCACGGTTCCATGGTGAGTTAAAAACAACCCAACAACATCATGTATACTATACGTTCAGAACGAGCATCTATTCTGGCCCCAATGTTATGGGAATTTGCGAATTATAAGTCGCCGAATTTCCCGTCAAAATGCTGCCCAACATGGATATGCAGCGGAGATTAGTGTTTGGCTCGACACATGGCAACGCTATCCCACCTGCGGCTATGCAATTCAGAAGCCGGAGGCCAATGCGGCAAAGATCCCGCAACGCTCAACAGGACCTACAAGGAACATTACAACGTCCTGATCGGGATGACTAGAGGGTATAGTCCCCGCCAATATATTGAACCTATCAAGGCAAAGAGAATTAAAGTCCACTGAGAAGATGTCCTGTCGATATTCTGTAGTCCTATAGTAACAAACGAGAAAAGAGACCAACCTGATAGAAGCCGAGCCCCGACCAGAACAGTCCAAATTCAGTACCATCCATGTATGATACCAATATAATAATAGCCCCAATCCAGGTCCATGTCCAAATTGCCCAAACCCAGCACAGCCTAACAATAGACCAAGTAAAGAAACAGACCAAAGAAACTCCTTCTGTCAAACGCATTCAACTGAGACAAACGAAAAATAAAATAAATAAAATGAAGCAAACAAGTGGATGGAGAACGAAGTCCTCCAAATTCCAGATTAATCACCCAGAAAATGAAAATCCATGTCCTGCGTTGTTCCTGTACTGCCCTCCTGACTTTTGCCCTTCTGCCCATTGCCTGTGCCAATGTGTCAGGTTCTAAATTTGGGCGAGTGGCTTTCTGTTCGTGGTAGCGAAAACCAACAAGCATTTGTCTGGCTCCAGGGGTAAGCAGCCGACATGGCAGGGAAGGATTATATTCCTTGCAAGTGCCATTCTGGATCTGTAATTGGAATGCGCCAAGGTCGTACTCCCGAGCCACGCAGCAGCAGGTGCGTCAGGTATGAGCCATCCATGGCGACGCACAAGTCACTCTCAAAGGTCAAAACACATTGTAGTCACTTGACCCGACCCTCCACAAATGAGAACCACAAAGTATATCCCCTGTTTGCTTTTTTTGCCTCAAGGCAAATTAAGATTCCAAAGCACAAACAAAAGCACACACACCCTGTCTGATCCCCTCAAGACGAGGAGTAGAAAAAAATATCTGTCGGCAAATGATGCTCCAAGGGAATCGTAGTCCCAGACCTTCTTGGCAAAATCCGGGAAGCGCCGGTCTCACACGGGGCCCAAATCCCAAGACACCGCATTGTACCTGGGCCATCGGGTTCTCGGGTTGGGTGGGTATCACGACGGACGGGTTCAGGGTTCCACAGGTGCGAAACAAGGTAGTGACCTGCATTGAAACCCGTCATCTGTCAAGGATGCGGCATGTGGCGTAGGTGAAAAACTTGATCGTCTTTTGTTTGGGGCAGTTTATCCATCCCGCGACTAAGACGTAGACAGTGCATGGCAGATGATCAATATCCCTTGTGGGCAAATCCTCCAGAAACCGAGAACGGCTACGATAGTCGTCGGTCGAATAATGCATGCATCCAGCAGAACTTCGGGGAAAACGGACGTCGACGTGGGAAAAGGGAGGCAGGGTTGGGTGCGGTGAGAAGATTTTTTTTCCCTGCAGCACAAAACCAAGTGAGAAAAGCAACAGCAAGGGTATGTTTTGCAAGGACTGTGGATCCCGCGCCCAGGACGAGTGGCCGCAGCTGCTAGCAGCAATTGAGCACGAATCAACACACACACATCTATCCAATAAAACAGGGATCCTGGGACAAGGAAGAGAAATTTGGTAAAAAACACAAGAAAAGAAGAGAAAGCCACCCAAGAAGAGTAAGGAAATAAAGGATTCACTCAGAACCCACCAGCACCACGGCCAAGACTGGTCGATTGCTGGGGGAAGAGTTGTCCCTGATAGACGGTCGAAGCTCTAGGTTGCTGGCTCAACAGCTTCAGGGCGACCTCGGCGGCGTCTTCTTTGGCATTGTTGACGAACTGGCCGTCATACCAGTAGCGGGCAGCGATAGCAGTCGGGATGCCCTGTACGGTGACAGTACTAGACCAGGCAGTACGACCTCCTGTATTCCAAATGGAAATTAGCATCTGTCAAATCAGAAACTTAAAAGTCGGTGTACAAGTGATGGGGGGCAATAGAGGGGGCGATTCTCTCTCGTTCTGCAAGACTCCACACCCTTCCTGCAATGCCGAGACACACACAAGGCATAGGCAACGCGTATGTACTGAGTCGACAGGTATCAGATAAAATAGAATAAACCCCGTGAGAGGAAATGACGGTGGGAAGAGGAAGAGGGGCAGAGTATCGGGTAAGTACCTCGCCGATCGGAGACGATGTTGAAGACAGGAGGAGTCAGCTTGGTACTTCTACAGTATGCTGATGATAGTCAGTCGGGTAATATTGTTAAGCGTCAATTGTGTTGGGCTCGGGCTGGGGTCTGGACACGCATTTGGAGGGCTGAATGGCTTACCATCGAGCTGATCTTGCCAGCTAGGCCGGCTGCCAACGCTAGTCCCTTGAGCACTGCTGTATGACATCTTGAGAAAGGTAGGGGCTGTTGAGAGTTGCAATTGAATTATGGAGTGGGATTGAGGGGAAGATGTTGAGAGTCAAACGTAGAACTCAATTGGGGATAACAGAGATGTATAGAAGAAGAGAATGGGTCAAAGAACTCCAAGGGACGAAGATATACCGGAAGAAAGAAGAGAACAACCTCGATTGGACCCGGTTGGAAGCTGTAGAGGTCCTTTTAAATGTCCATGAAGGACTATCATGGGGAGCGGGGAGTCATATAAACAGTGGGCCATATCTTCAAGGCCAAAAAGCCGTTCTCGCATGGGGGGTTTTTTTTGACTTTTTCATTTTCAATTTTGATTTTTCCCTTTATTTTTTATTATTATTTCCCCCTGGGAACAAACAGGAGCCTAATCGTCAAACCTAACGGAGCGGGCTTATGCATGTCGATGTGGACATGGCAAAGCGTCAACTAAATCCCCCCCCTCCTTTATCCACCAGTCAAGGAGGGCAATGGGAAGAACATGCGGATCATTTGAGGCTGCAAGCTGGAACGGCCCGGCGCACGCCGTCTAAAAGCCCTTGAAGAAACGCTAGACATCACAGTAAGGGCTACTAATAGCCGGATATGTCCATCCCACATAAGTAATAAAGGGAAGATTGACTTCTCTCAAGGGCTCCAGGGAAAAAAAAAAGAGACAGCTTTTCAGGAGATCGGATGCGGATTGGATGGAAAAGTGAACAACTCAGAGAACCCCACGTTGATTTTCCTTTTTTTTTTCTTTTTCGGTCTCGCCTCTATAATCCATTTCGCTCCTTATTATAAGCCATCTCCGAGCTCCAAGTCGAGATTAATTTCAACCGAATCGGCGGAAAGCCTTCTGGAAACCCTGAGAGACTGCATAAGGGCTTGAATCTCTGCCCAAAATGCGGAGCTAAACTAGTGCATCTTTTGTTCTGAATGACGAAGATGCCCGAAACGAGAATCCGTTCCCCCCTTCAGGTTGGGCCGCACAAAGTATTGCCAGCTCATCATAGAGATTTGGGGAAGCCGTTTACATTCCCCCGAGATTCTTTACCAAAACAACCGGGCCGCCCTGCATGGGCAGCATGAACGCTGTCTCGGCCCAGAAAGAAGTATATTAGAATGACGCGAGGGCGATATTCGGAAATGTCAAAGCGTGTCGCGCATAGACAAAGGTACGAAGAGCGTCATTAACACGCTAGTCCGAAAAAATGCCTAGAGGAACACGAAATGCAATGTCATTCTACCATTCAAACACTATGAAGCCTCGAAAATGCCGAAAGCATCAAGCCATTCCAGTCGGAACGAACGGGAGACTCTCGCCTCCCTTTGGCAAAGCGAGTTGGGCATTCATGCAGAGTAAATAGTCATCAACCATGGTTCTCAGTAATGCGGCTCTATGCACGTAACACGTCGATGTTCGACAGAGGACTAGGCACATCAGGGCTGTTCTTCTGCTCAACGGGCCCCGCACAGTTTAAGCACTCGCAGGCGCTAATTAGCCAAGAATAGCCGGAGTAAACCCCAATGACGCATCGCATTGGCTGTTTTGGACTAAGGCAGCAAGGCCAGCAAGGGCCCTTGGGCTGTCAGTCGCGCTAAAATTGAAAAGATTCATTCAGAGCCAATCGATCGCGAACAATAGATGTGCTTTTTCTTCCCTGCGCTAGTCTGGCGTTTCCCCTGTTTAGGGGTGTGGGGGATACATACTTGGAAGCGCTGATAGCCAGTCAATATCTGTATGTACTGTAAGAACCATGGTGAACCATGGTTCATGCCTACAGAAGTACGGTGTATCTACTGTAGCGAAGCGGTCAGACTTGAACTACTCGGTATGCAACGCCAGCATAGCAACGCACGAGGGATGTGTTCATGTACACGCAAGCTGATAAAAGAACAATGCAATGCAAGATGTGATGAACCCCCCGCTCCAAATCCAGATGCAATATGGAACCGCCGTAAGCTGCCCCTTTCAGTTCCCTGTCAGATCCGGATTAGAGGATCGCCCGGACTTGGGCTTCTCGAGACCCGAAGTCCCTTTCAGCCGAATGAGAAGCCAGCCGGATCAGAAGACGGCACAAAATATAAATATAAATAAAGAAAAAATAATAGAAAAATAGCCAAAAAAGTGGCAAAGCAAGAAAACAAGTTTCAAAAGCTAAGCCAGAACAAGAAATGAACCACACATCGTCAAAGTCATTAGGTCGTTAAGAGACTATCAAGTCTCCCAAAACATCCCGGTCAATGCAGGATAGAACCGGCTCACACCTCTCACCTATGGTTCATGAGCCATCTACGCCATAAGCCCCTGGTCGCTTAAGCAGATCCTCGTCGCTGAAGTACTTGGCCGATCAGGCGCCGAGGGCCCATGCGCTCCAAGCTCTTCGTCAAGTGCTGAGCGGGGAGCATCCACGAAGGCTGGCGCTCCTGATGCCAGTGACGACGAATGCAATCGTCAACTAGCGCCACAATACCTGTAGCCACAATCACACTACGCAAAGTCCATCAGCCTCACAGAAAAAGAAATGAAAGATAAAAATAAAAGAGGGGAAGCTCAAGGTAAAAGCCATAGCAAACAGACGTGGACTTACTCGGCGATGTCAGGCATCCGCTGATAAACCGAAGGATCACTGATCCACAATGATGACGGCGGCACCCAACCCCCCTTGCTCTCCTCCTCGACCGCATCTAGCGGCGCGAGAGTATCCGGGACAAGATGGGCAATGGTCTTGGAAGTGCGCGTGTCAATCAGGAAATACGACACCTCGTGCAGATCGCCCTCTTTGCGGAACTCGCGTCGCCACTGATACTTCGTGGACCAATACTCATACTCGTACTTCTTGTTTAGGCCAGGTCCTTTCCTCTTCAGTTCGACGTGTGCATAATTGGAGAATTCAAGGAGGATGGTATCCACCAGCGTTGACCTCTCGGTTTCGGTACCTGGTTCCTTTTCTCCTTCTACATCTTCACTCGCACCTGCTTCGTATCTGGCACTCTCGCTGTGGACATGGGCAGGCTCAAAACCAGAACCTTTTCGTTTAAGATCACCATGCGCTGCTGTTGCGCTTGTTGAGGGTGCACCGTTGCTACTCAAACCAGGCCGCAGACTGGCAAAGACGGTACTCCACGATCGACGGAAAGCAGGACGTCTAACATGACCAGAAGAGACTTCCCTCCTTGCTGAATGGCATACCTCCCTGCCCGAATCACGGCAGTAGCGACGAAAGGAGAATTTCCGCGAGAACAGATCATACATGCGGAGATGGAAGAGGATGACATCGCGCTGCGAGCCATCCCGGAGGTGGACGGGAGTGTCGACGCGCAGGTTCATATTGCCATCGATGGTGGTATCGTCATGGCGGATAAGTAGCCGTCTCGACGAAGGGAACAAAGGTGCGAAAGAGGAGGGGGTTGAAGGGATAGCGTCAAGTGGGAAGAATTCTTCCCGCTCGTGTACTTCATAGCGTGGTTCCTCTGGCGGGAGATCTGCGGCTGAACCTGTCGATGAAGCGTATGTTGAGACAGAGTCTCGGGGTCTTGGTCCTCGTTCTTCGTATACTACTGGCTCGTCTTTTTGTTTTGTGCTTGGATGGTCGCTCAGGGCTGTTGCCGCGGTACTTCTGGATGTCGAGCTATCCGTTGAGCTGGAACTGCCGCCACCAGGGCGATCTTGGCATGATTTATAGGAACCCATTGTGTAAAGTAGATGTGTAATCTGTGTTGTAGTTGTCACTGGTCCACAGTGAACTGGGAACAGGGAACGGGTGGAGAAGGGGTGAGTCGGATATAAGGCGCAAGTTAGCCGTAAATAAGCCGTAGGTGGTAAGATGAAGGTACATCCAACGATACCCCCGGATTCTCCAGTTCTTTTTGAAACAGTAAAAAGAGTCCGAATGTCAGATTCCCATGACGTGGGGTTGGGAGAGGGATGGGCTCTTTGGCATGAAGGGAAATTAAGGTATCCGCAATCCAGTTAGGAAGATCAGGGAGATTAAAGGAACCATATGATGAAAGGGGAAAAGAGCAGGGATAAGATTTCCTGATTGGAAAAACCAGGAAGATATAGGAAGTAGGAAACAAGGCGAAAGGTCAAGGGGGGAATGTCAACTCGTCATTTGAGTACCCGATCTTCCATGGGCCATGAAACCCCTCCTTAACCTCCCAGACTTCCAGTTCACATCCAATAAGATGGTCAGGGCTCACCGGTAACGATAACAAAGAGCCAGCCTCACTAAAAATGTGCCTATAGAAAGCTCCAAGGTTGTGTGATGTGTCTCCAGTGTCGAGTGATAATTCGTTCTCCCCCTCCTCTGTGATCCCCGGGCCAGTGAGATCTCGGGCGCCTGCATAGAACGAAGTCTGGACACGAGTTTCATTATGTCAGGGTTCAGGCCTTGTCCGAGCGTGAATTCTGAATTCTGAATGCTCCATACGGAATTTCAATATGGATTTGAATTTTCAAATTCTCCGACATGAAGTAGCAGTCAGGGCATAGTTGGGACGTCATGGCAAACCGTGGGCCTCTCGGCGGTCCGTTCCGGACGGTGGAGCAGGGTGAAAAGCGTCTCATCTAACATCCCCCTGGAGACCTTGGATGAGGCAAAATCCTCCGATTTAGGTTATCTGATCGAGTTTCGGAAATTCCAGCGCGTCCTGCCACGGCGACAATGGTCGCCGCATGGGGCCACCTATGCGAGACCCGTATCAAACGAGGCTTCACTACTCTAAGCCTCCACCTGCGTACATGCGATGAAGATGCCCAACCATCCGTTGCTTTAGGCGACCATATACTTGGAAGGGTCAGGGCTACGAAAGAAGATCTCTGGCCAACCTAAGTTGCGACCGAGAAAATATGTCCGATGAAACTAATTGACCAGCCGTGGAGACAACGGGCCTGGTCTGAATGCCGAAATATTATGTCCAACGTTACCCTGGATTACCCCCGAATGAAAAACATGTCCAACCTGGAAACAAGAATGGCAGTTTACACCTGCGCAT